GAGCATGCATCGCAATCCCAAGTGAGCCCTTCCTCTTTCAACAATATTATAATTATACTAGGCGTGCGAATAAGTACTTTCCCCTCCAAATTCAAAATTTATTCCGAATTTAAATCATTTTTCACACCGTTCTCTTCAAATGGCACGCCATTTCGATAACTTCGACACTCGATTTCCCAAGAACGCAAGAAGTAAGCAACGAGCGCCATATTGCTCGAAATCGTCGCGACTCTTAACACTTTCGCTACGGGCGATTCTGTTTTCACCGTGTTTATTCGAAAAAAAATTTTCCTCGAAATCCTTCGAATAACATTATGTAGTATATAATAATATGATATAATTGTAATAATAACTGTTGATAAATATGAAACAAATGATTAAAAACGAAATACCGATTAGTAGAGAAAGATGTACTCGATGTACGATAAATCGAATCGCTCGTCTTGTGCAGAGCGAAAAATAAAAGAAGTTACGATGATGGAAAGAATTTGTTTGCACGCCTTACGTAAACTCCTCCTCTCGTGCGCTTGTAACGTTTTGTATTTTCATACGGCGAGTCGAGAAATTGAAATTTTTGTTCGAGCAAGGTCGCCCTTCTGCTACGAGAGGGTTTAGCCCTGTACGGTTTGAGTCATCCAGCCCTGCTCCCAGTTTTGGGCGTCTCGATCGAGGATAGAAGCGCTCCTTTTCTCTTGTACCCGCACACCGGTTACAAGAACATGAAGAGGTTCTTGGTGAGGTGCAAGCTGAGCAGCGAAGGGCCACCGAGAGCACTCACCACGCAAGAAGTCGTGGAAATGGCACTTCAAGCTGCCAAAGGGGTCCAGTATCTTCACAGAAAAAGGCTGGTGCACAGAGATCTGGCCGCAAGGAATTGCGTGTAAGTGAGGGAGGAGCGTTGAATCGCGGTGTTTAACGTGGTAACTTCGTTCTCTTCGCTCGCGATTTCAAAAAGCCCGCCAATTAAAAAATATTAAAAGATATAAGTTTCAATCGCATTTGTGTTATTAAATATAATATTCTTTCGTAAATAAATAGTACGAAAGGTGGCCGGATAATATTTGCGACCGAACGTAGGTATTTATTCGCGTCGAATATTTTTCAGTAAAACACACCAGTCGGTTAAGTTTCGTTACAAAATTAATTGGCCGTGTGGCATTAATTAGCAATAAATAGCGTGGCCGGCTCGGTCGAGACTGTTTAATTACCGTCCGCTACTGTTTCGTCGTCGCGGGGATGACTTTAACATCTCCCCCCCTCCTCTTCTTTATAGCAGTTTTTGCGTTCACCGCTCGACGACGAATTTAAACCGAGCGCTCGTTTATTTTACGCGCCCCTCGAATCTTTATTATTAACATCTCGGCCAATTTAACGCCCCACAGTGGTTCGAACGATGTATTCAAATTTATAAGAAATAATTGTTTCGTTGCAACGTATAATAACCACGCGTTGAAACTCTTTTACGTTAAAATATTTAATTTCTCTCTTTTAAACGTTTACGGATTAAACGAAATAAGCAGAGAACTTTGGATTGGTTTATTGGTATATTGGTTTCGATAATTGGGAAATATTCCATAAATTTATTAAGAAGCGTTTAAATTTCAATTTTATGACGGATCTTGATATCTTTTTTAATTTAAATCGTTATCGATAAGTTTTTTATTATTTTTTTTTTGTAAATTAAGCTTAAAGTTAAGTAATTATTTCATGTCAGAAATTCACACAATGTAATGATTTGTCGATAATTTTTTATAATGATTCTACTTTATTTTACTGTCATATTTGATTCGTAAAACTTTGCGAGACTATACTACTTTACGAGACTTAATTATTATATTTATTATATTTATGGATTAATTCTAATCTATCTTGTATCTTGTATTTATATTGTAATATATGCATTTCTATTATTGTTTATTTATTATATTTTGAAGAAGCAAGGAATATAATAATATTCCTAACTTTAGTTGACAATTTTTTTATTTCTTTTAATTACGTCTTCTTATGTCTTCTTACGAGTACGTCTTCTTACGATCTTCTTTTCATTTTATAATTTTCAGTTTCATTGTTTTTATTGTAATTTTGTCAAATTATCATTTATTTAGTCCATATCTATTGAATAATTTATAAAATAGATTTCGTTAGAATACCATTTTCAATTCTCAAGATCCAGTTTATCGTATGTTTGTCAAACTCGAAATGCTTTCTAATCTTAATTGCCTACTATAACTTTTTTGCTACATCTCCCGCGCGAATTTTGCCACGCTTCTTAAAGTTCACAATTACAAATATATTATACATTTCTATATTTATATATCGATTATTACGTATTCTCTTTTTTATTCTATAATTAATTAAACGCAATATTTAATTTCTTACATTATATACATTTTCAATAAAATAATAAATCGATATTATTATTAACAGCAAGTTTCTTAAGAATTAAATCTCCGTATTAAGTTTAAAAATCAGTAAAAAAGAAATAATTTTATCTCTGTCGTTTGAACCACCATTCTCTCTCTCTCTCTCTCTCTCTCTCTTTCTTAAACTAACTTCCCATCTTTTTTTTCTCTCTCTCGTTTTCAGCGTTGACGACGATCTGAGAGTTCAAATCACGGACAACGCCCTGGCCAGGGACCTGTTTCCTCAAGATTACCATTGCCTGGGGGACAACGAGAATCGTCCCATCAAGTGGCTGGCCATCGAAAGTTTGCTCAACAAGACATTCAGCACCGCCTCCGACGTGGTGAGCGAGCGAATATCTTTCTAATAATTCTAACGATACGAATCAGGGGTGATCCCTTCGATCGAAAAGATATATATACTTTAATTCGAAATATATATATATGTGTTCCACAGTGGGCGTTCGGTGTATTGTTATGGGAGTTGACCACGTTGGCGCAGCAACCGTACGTGGAGGTGGACGCGTTCGAGATGGCTTCCTACCTCAGAGACGGATACAGATTGGCGCAACCGATAAATTGCCCCGACGAGCTGTTCGCCGTTATGGCTTATTGTTGGGCGATGTCGGCCGACGAGAGGCCCACGTTTAGCCAGTTGATCGTCTGCCTTCAAGATTTCCACACTCAATTGACCAGATACGTTTAAAATACGTTCTATTCGAGGAAAATACGATACGAATTTTGAGAATTTCGATAGAATATATACGTGTATATAAATATATATAATAGTGTCTAGTACTTAAAGGATTGATTTTCGAAGATGATTTTCAAAGAGGATCGAAATATATAGATATTCGCGACGAAATTGTATCGTTTATTCAGATAAATCGGCGCGTAATTTTATAAAAGAAGAGAAAAAAAAAAAAAAGGGTATCGTAGAAATTTATCATGTAAATTCTTCATCAGAAGTAGGATGATGCAGGCGTATGTAATTTCTGTAATAATACCGGTTAATAACCGGTTACACGCTGTACTGAAATTCGGAGCGTAGAAGACGTATAATTTATCTCTTAAGTTAAGACTGAATTAATTAATTGATTAATTGATTATTCATCGCTATCATTGTATGTGTACGAAACCACGAATTTTCACGAAAACGACTGGCAAACAATCCTTCATCGACGTGTAAAAAAAAAAAAAAAAAAAAAAACTGCCAATTTCTCTCGTACTCAGGAAATACTCGCGCATTAATTGAGCAAAAAAAAAAAAAAAAAAAAAAAAAAAAGAAGAAGAAGAAGAGGAGGAAAAAGAACGTCGAACAATTTTTTTAAACGTGATGTGATACGCTTCGCTTGCCACGTAAAGAGTGTTTCGAGTGTGCCAATACCCCTCCTCCTTCTCACCCCCCCCCCCCTCTTCCCCCTTCCTTCTTTGTACTTTTGTATATATTTACATTTCTATATGTATATGTATATGCGTATTAGCTACGAATAAGGAGAATCTGTCTGTCTCGAAGGGAAGTTCTGTATATACATATATATATATATAACGAACGATGGAATAACGATGGACAGCGAGAGACACGGATGTACAAAATCGCACACGATTTACAATTACAATAAAGCGATACATTACGATACAACACAACGAACAATCGATATAAAATCGATATAATTCAATCGATCGATGACAACGATCGGGTTTGTCTCTTCCCCTCCCTCCTCCCCCCTCTCCCATTTATTTTTAGCGCCTTCGGTTTATTGCACAGCCGAGTCAGACTGCGAGGCGAGGAACGAGGTTTTTTTTTTTCTTTTTTTCTGCTTTTCTCGGAAAACGTTCGTCAAATCGTGATATATCGCCTCGTTAAACGACTCCTGTAATTCCTTCCCTGCACCCTGCGTCGCCTGGGCGAGAAAATTAATGGGCCCGTCTTGTGACGTCTTGTTTAAAATGACGGACGAGCTCGCGTCCAATTTTCCGCCACTGTTTCGCACTGTAATCGGACGCATTTTAACCCCATGATAAAGAGCCGGGGAATCTCTAAATTATGCCCGCGATATTTCTTCCTTCTTAACTCTCCTTCTCTCCTTTCTTTTCTTCTCGTACTTTCGCAACTTTTTCGCTCTTTCTCGACTCTTAATTAATCGCACGTGTCGCGTTATTTTTATAATCGATATCGAGAGAGTTTTTTCTTTTTTTTTCCTTTTTTTTTTATTTGATTATACAATTGAACGAAACAATTGATCATTAGAAATTAAGTTATTTTTCATTGTTTATGTTCAGTTAAATTTGTAAAATTGATAAATGTAAGGATATTTATCGAAGAAATATTTACAGTGACAGAAGCTATAATTTATTAAGAATTTTTTTTTTTATTCGATTATACAATTGAACGAAACAATTGATCATTAGAAGTTATTTTTCATTGTTTATGTCCAATTAAATTTGTAAAATTGATAAATGTAAGGATATTTATCGAAGAAATATTTACAGTGACAGAAGCTATAATTTATTAAGAATTTTTTTTATTTAATTATACGATTGAACGATCATTAGAAGTTATTTCGTCGAGCTAAATTTGTAAAATTAGATAAAATTGTGAAGCGAGAATATTTATTTACGGGAGAAATATTAACAGTGACAAAAAGTTACAATTATAATCGATATTGAGATTTTTTCTTTTATTTCTCTTTTTTTATTTAACTATACATTAATTGGACAATCATTAAAAATTAAGTTAAATTAAACTTAAATTAAACTTCATTGTTTCATTGTTTCGTCGAGTTAAATTTGTAAAATTGAATAAATCTAAAGCGAGAATTTATTACAGGATATTTATCAGAGAAATATTGGCAATAACATTTATAATCGATATTGAGAGTTTTTATTCAATTATACAATTGAACGCAATAATTGATCATTAAAAGTTGAATTATTTCATTTCGTTTCGAGTTAAATTTGTAAAATTGATTAAAGCAACAATATTTATTACAGGATATTTATCGACAAAAAAATTGACGTGCCAACGGAAGAAGCTACATTTTTACTCCCACGCTTGTAATGATTCGTGATTTCCCAATAATGCGAGTCCGATTAGACACGGTACATTGGCTTCGTTCATCTACGCTTCATCGGCGGTAAATACAGTCTGAACTCGAATCTCGCATTTCTTGGAAAAAGGAGGGGCGACCTGAACGCGCGCAAAAGCACGAAAACCACGTACAATAATTAAACGTTTGAATAAACGCTCGAATAATAAAATTACTTTTATTATTCACAAAGAAAAAGTATTTGTTTTTAAGTTCGATCGTAAAAATTATGACACAACGTAACGTGCTTCGTTATTAAATTCGGATTAAGGTTAAAAAAAAAAAAAAAAAAAGGGGACGATAAAGAGAAAAGGCGGAAGCGAAGGGTTTTAATGAATTTCAATGAGCTTTCGCGACCCTCCTCCTTCATTTGCACCAGGGGCTTAGCCAAACGTTAGATGTTAAACGGGGGAATTTGAAATTGCTTCAATCCCTTGTGTACCCAGTACGATCGTGTCGAGACAGGGTGCATTTCAGAGTAGTCATTCTTTATTCCATACACGTCGAAAGAGCAACACAACGTCATTCACGGCACCATCTTGCTCGTCTTTTTTTTACCCTCCGCTGTGAGGGGGTTCCATTCATCGCTCACGTTTCTTTGGCCTTCGAATTTTTCTTTTCAACCTGAATCGTGAAAATCGAAAAACAACTTACACACACGCACGTTTCGATTCGTAAAATTTAACGTAATACAGAGAGAGAAATGTAAGAGTGAGTGTAGATTCTTCTCCTCAAATTTTTCTTAAACTTATTGTGAAAATTAAAAAAGTTGTACGTACTTTCGATTAGAAAATTTACACTGAGAACTGTCTTCTCTAATTGATCTGTAGTAACAATTATTCAATCTTAAAAAATTATAACACCATTTCTCTCGTAATTTTTTCACGTTATTTATTTTCTGGCGGATAAAATGAAAGCTTGTGTTATATCATACCATTTCAAGTTGCCTTTCTTTTCTCATAACCTGCAATTCGAACTTTTGTGAGATGGAATTTTTATTTTAAGTAAAATAAAACAATATACTTTCGATAATTAATTTCTATCATAGAATACGTGAGATACTGCGTTTTAAATTTTTCACTTTATAATTAAACAAGTAGAACAAGTAGAACAATTTTCGTATGAAAGAAAAAGTTATCTTCCTATCCATATATTTATACGTAAGATTTTATACATAAAATCTTCTTCGTGCTAATTAGATACACGGAAATCATTGTAATTTTCTTACCTAGTGATCGTCGTCATTATATTATTATATCATATGCATCCTGTTCGAATATTTATTCCTTTCTTGGAGAGCAATTCCGCAGGAAAATACCAAACGAACTAACAATGAAGAAACGAATAATGATCGTTCTTTTTATTCTCTCGACAATGTTTACGTCCAAGTATCCTGTATCGTGTACAAAGATTTCTTCTCGGATTGCGTTCGATTCCCAAGAAAATGGTGAAGATTCAAAAAATTGGATTCGAACGAGGTTAACAAGATGGATCGACTGATTTCTAAATCTATTTCTATTGGTTGTTCGGAAATTAATTTCGTTTTTTCACACGAGTGTCGCTAGTCGAACGTTTATCCAGCCAACTTCATTCTAGACTAGAAATTATTGGATTGTTCGGAAAATAATTTCGTTTTTTCACACGAGTGTCGCTAGTCGACCGTTTATCCAGTCAACTTCATTCCAAACTGTGTTATTGTATGTTTCGAGAGCATTTCATGGTTTATTTATAAGAAAAATTCGTTTGATTTTGTGCGCGGTTCCTTTTTTCGCGTGCGATAACAAAGCGATAATGAGCAGGGCCAAAAAGAGCATATTTTCGGCATATTTTATTTTTTTATTACCGAAAAGGCAAGAATGCTAGTTCAAGCAAGAAAAAATTTATGATATCTATGGAGAAGATATTAATAGTATCTCAGTATCAAAACTGATTTTCAAAATTTCGTTTCAACAATTTCAACATTAAATGCGTCACGTTCTGGAAGACTAGTTGAAGCTGATACAAATAAACTAAAGGCACTGATTGAAGCAAATCGACGAATAACAACCTGAGAAATTGCTACGAGATTGAATTTGACTGTTCATGATTACATGAAACGACTCAATGTTTCATTCTCATGAAGAAAAACGAAATTACTTTCCGAACAACCCAATATTCGGGATAAACGAGAGTGAAAATGTGTTATCGATTATGAGATCGATAGATGCGAAGAAGAATCGAATAAGCAATCTTGTTGTAAATAAATTAAGATAATTTCACTTCGGTTCGATTCATTATTATTTGTGATTTGCAGATTCTGATTGTTATTAACAATCGTTCGAATATCTGGGATGAAATCGGGTGTGGACTTGTATAAAATAAAATTTGCAATGTTACCGTGTCATCAAAAGTGAACAACGAAGATAACGTTGTGATCGACGTTCGTCTTGAAATAATAACGAAATTAAAGAAAGATTTTGAGATGAATGACATCCCGATCATCGATAGAGTTCGCAGTATTGAAATTATCGAGACGATTTATTGATACATTTCTACTATATGATACACAGGTAAAATCGAATATTTTAATTAGAATGATTTCGTGATTTCAGAGAATTTTTTTTTTAATCGAAGAAATATTTCAGACTCAAAGTCTATCAAAATGGTGAACCTTGGTATCAGGCTTTCGAAGAACTTTTGAAGAAAGAACTCAAATTCGACAATAAAATCGAAGTTTAGTAAAGTTTAATCGAATAAAAAAAAATAAAACATAAGAATATTATCAATTGGTATTTCTCTTGCTGATGATATCGTGTTTAATAAAATACAAATTTAAATGTATGTATATGATTATATATATAAGGAATCCTATATTTAATTACCTTACAAAATGGAATGAAAAAGGACAAAAAATATGCAATTACAGACAATTTAAATGTATATATATGTGTATAGAAGGAATTGAAATTATATCATGTATAAAAGTTGAAGTAAAAAAAGTAGAAAATAAATTTCTCAAATCGATCTTTTTCAGAAATGAATTACTTAATCACGAATCTTCTTCGCTCACAACACTAGGGATATTATTATATACTTAAATGCAACGAGTATTCATATCAGCGTATCACTTTACGTATATTTAATAAACAATAAAAGATATTTAAGAATTTTGTTTATAATTATCCCGACGTTACAGAGAGACTTGGAAAGAGGCGTTAAAATTGGAAACGGAAACATTTGTGCCAATTATCAATTTGATGAATTTAATCCTCGACTGTTCGGAAAGTAATTTTTCCATTGTCATTTACACCCGTGGTCGAAGATTTATGAGAGATAGTCTTCCCATCCGGACCAACCATGGTGTGCGAGCTCGAGCTGGAGAACACCCCATAGGTGTTTCCAGATGGCGGAGGCACTTCCTCGCCAAATCTTGATTCCACGCCTGGTCTAACCTGAAGAGAAGAGAGCAAAAATTCAAGCAACGATTTTCGAATCGAAAATATTAATAATCGACCAAGTCCAAGATTTAAATTAAGATCAAAGTTTTATTACTTACTGGATTGATCGCGCCAGCTTGATAACCACCTTCCGGTCCCAAATTAATGCTGGACACAGCACTGTGTAAACCGGGTACAGAGCCCGGATCACCGGCTATGCGATTTGTTGTATCAAAGAGCCTTGAATAACAAGGTTTGAAAATTTTAATCTTCGATTAAAATTTCATCCTCCAATTTACCCCATTTACTTACGATTGTTGTTGCTTCTGGAATTGAGCTTGCAACTGTCTGAAATTTTCCTCCATTTGCTTCTGGAAATCGGCGAAGTTATAATCGGGGAAAGCGAAAGAACTGGGATCGTACACGTCTGTAAGAAGATGAAGCGATAAATTAGAAAAAAAAAAAATATTTATTTATTTATTTATCTTTAACACTCGTGCAATATAATTATCCTATACGTATATAAATGTGCACGTGAAGCGGCAGAATTAAACAATTTCTCTAAACAACGCATCAGAATAAAATTTGCAACACGAAATGCAACACGATCGTATTTAAAGCTCGTCACGTTCGAAGAGTATCGAGTGCGATATTTAATCATTCAATAAACATCCATGTATATTAAAGCTAAAGTTTTGCACAGACATTATTAGTCTCTCGGTGAAAAAAAATAAACAAAAATAACCACGATTATTTTTCTTTCGTCTCATTACATTCTCTCTCTCTCTTTTCAAACGCAAAGCGCATCGTCACACTCAGCGTGCACCTATCCAACGATCCCCAAGGAGTAAGTCCTCGAGTTTTTTTCACCCCGTTCGTTAAATATTACCTCCTCCATAGCTACCATATCCCCCACTGTTATACAATCTTGGTGTAGGTGCGTTGACCATGTTCGAGGTGTCGCCGTATCCTCCTGGATATCCCCCTTGGGGATAAGCGTTATAATTCGAGGGTATATCAGAGGCTCCAGCCGACGCGCCGGCCGAAGCGAAAGACGCCGCTCCTCCAGTTCCATAACCTCTCGATCCGACGTTGGATCCAGCCCATGCATTGCTGTTGGGACCGTACGGATTGATGTAAGGCGAGGAGAAGCCAGGAACGAAGGATGGCATGAAGAAAGAGGGAAATTGGAAATTGGGATTCTGAGGATTGTCCACGCTTGTTGGGTTTCGATTCGACTTTGATTCCGGCCTCTGTTTTTCATTCGATTCCTCCTCGTCGTCGGGATCGAAGCGGGAGCCGATAACCGGCTTGCTCGCCGATTTCCCCCCCGATGGTCGCTTGCTCGTCGACTCTTCGGACTCTTGGTCGGAACTCGTCGGTTTTCCCTTCGGTCTCTTCGGTTTTCTCGAATCGTTGGACGGTTGCCTCTTGCCCTCCTCCTGATCCTCCTCCGCGTCTTTTTCCTCATTCTTCGGTTTCGGCCTTTCGTCACTGGACAGCTGTCTCGCTGAAGGCTCTTCCTCGGGATCCGTGCCTTTCGCCTTCGGTCTCGGTTTTCCTCCTCTCGTCCTCGGCTCCGGTTCTTGATCCGTCTCCTCGGAATCAATGGGTCTCGGTTTCGGTTTCGGCCTTTCGCCATTGGACAGCTGTCTCGCGGAAGGCTCTTCCTCGGGATCCGTGGCTTTTGCCTTCGGTCTCGGCTTTCCTCCTCTCGGTTTGGGCTCCGGTTCTGGATCCGTCTCCTCGGAATCAGCGGGCTTCGCCTTCGGTCCTCCTGACATCGGTCGTCTCGTTTCTGGCTCCGGTTCCTCGGCGTCTTCCGGGTCGGGACTCGTCGGTTTCGGCTTCGGTCTCGGTGTGGTCGATCTGCCAGCCGGTTTCGGCGCGGGCCTTTTCGGCTTCGAGTCGTTGGAAGGATCCTCCTTCGAGTCAGGGGACTCGGTGGTAGTTGGACTTTTCGATTTGGTGGACGGGGAAGGGGATTCCGGTTCGGTAGTCGAATCTGGCTCGCTCGTCGATCTTCGAGCCACGTTCTTCGGGGTGTTGGATCTACCAGGAGCTGCGCTCGGATCGGCGTGGCTGGTCTTGGGATCTGGACTCGTAGTCGGATCGGGCGGGATCAGCGTGTATAGGTGCAAGGTGGAAACAGGGGAGGAGGTAGTTTCAATGTTCGAGGAGCTGGATTCTCGTTTTCTCGTCCTCGATATCCCAGCGTGATCCGTGATGGGTATATCTTCCCGCAATCCATCTTCGCCGATGAAAAGAAAGAAAATAGGATTTGGTCGTTTTCACAAGTCATCATCACCGTGCCTTTTTTTTTTTTTTTTTTTTTTCATTGTCAACGTCTCACGAGAAGCACGTTTTCACCGTTACTGTCAGCATGCGGCAGGTTTTCGACTCGTCTTTAATTTTCTTTTTCTTATCCTTGTTATTCATGCATGTTACGAGGAAAACATGTATTATTTTTTCCTTATTGTTTCCTTTCTTTTTTTTTTTTTTTTTTTTTTTGTTTTAGGGATTTAATTCACACACGATGATTTATGATTATTTATCTTCCTTCACACGCTCGACACGTGCAATTTTAGTGCAGTTTTAACAACACGAAACATGCGGAAAGGTGACACATCTGGACAACACTGATTCGGCGGGGGAAAAAAAAGACACATTTCGCATGCAACACGTCAATTTCCTCGAGGAGAAGATTGTGTGCACGAAAACGAGAGAGAGGAGGCTTCAAGCAAGTTAATACACATAAATAATTGCGAGTGTGCAAATAAGCGCCATCTGAAACGATGATAATATACAAGGATCGTGTATTTTTATCCTATTTCGATTCTCACACGCTTTTTCTTCCATTTTGGAATTCGTTTTGCATTATCCTCGTGTAAACATCGCGTCACGTTTCTCGCGTTGCCAATGTCAATGGGAGAAAAAAATATATATATATATATATATTTTTATATATATATATTTTTATTCCATCGAAAAATCTCTAAAATCGAAAGTTTTAAAAAATTCTTCGTCTTCCATTCGTAAATCACCGTACACGTATTTAATCATTAAATTTAACATGCGTCATAATTTGGAAAGTTGTTTTAAGTGTATACCAGAAAGTGGAGATGGATTCTTCAAGGTCGCGCTTCCTCGAGCAACTTTCCGATTCTAATGAACTCGTTCGAAAGGTTACGCGAAAAAAAGAAAAGAAAAAAATTGATCGAGCCTCGAAAATAATCGAATAATGATTCTTCTTTCGGATGAAAATTTTCCTCGAGAAATTTTTCTATCAAATTTTTAAACTTTTGAACGTTTGAATTTCTTCTTCTTCCTCTTCTTTCTTCTTCTCGAGAGAAGTTGAGGGGAAAATCGTATCGTAATTGGAAATAAAAAAAAGAACAAAATTGATCGAATATAGGAAATAATAAAATCGAATAATTCTTTCAGGTAAAAATTCCGAATTTCTTCTTCCTTCTTCTCAAGAAAAATAAGAGAAGATTCGTAATTGGAAATTAAAGAAAAAGAAAAAAATTGATCGAGCGTGGAAAATAAAATCGAATAATTTTTTCAGGTGAAAATTTTCCTGGAAAAATTTTTCCGAATTTTTTCTTCCTTCTTCTCAAGAAAAATAAGAAAAGATTCAAAATAGAAAAAAAGAAAAAAATTGATCGAGCGTGGAAAATAACAAAATCGAATAATTCTTTCAGGTGAAAATTTTTTTCGAAAAATTTTTCCGAATTTTTTCTTCCTTCTTCTCAAGAAAAATAAGAAAAGATTCGAAATAGAAAAAAAGAAAAAAATTGATTGAGCGTGGAAAATAAAATCGAATATTTTTTTCAGGTGAAAATTTTCCTCGAGAAATTTTTCCGAATTTCTTCTTCCTTCTTTTCAAGAAAAATAAGAAAACACTCGAAATGGGAAAAAAGGAAAAAATTGATCGAGCGTGGAAAATAAAATAATCTTTCGGACGAAAATTTTCCTCGAGAAATTTTTCTCTAAAATTTTTAAACTTTTCCGTTCGAATTTCTTCCTTCTTCTCGAGAAAAATAAAGGAAGAAATCGCATCGCATAATTGGAAAAAGCGATAGGAGATAAAAAAAAGAAAAAAGATAAAAAGAAGCGAAGGAAAGAAAGCGATCGTATCTCGTATTGGAGGTGAAGGTTGGGTAAGCGAACGAGGTCATGGTTCGCCGCGCATCGTTCACGAAGCAATTATCTTCGCACGATGACACGTAATAGCTGTCGTACACATGCGGAGAGAAGAGGAATTGGCATCGAGCGGAAGCCGGTTACGTTACGTGAGAATATCGATTATCGATGTTATCGCGGTTGGAAAATCTTCCGCTTGCATCCGCACGCGAATATCATCACTTTGTGCCGGTGAATTTTGCTTTTGCGAGTTTGATTGGGCAATTGCTCGAATAACAACAACAAACACTTTTCTTGTAATTTTTTTTTTTCTTTTTAAGCGATAACCGCTTGAAAATGAAAACATTCTTATTATCGTGACTGGTGTATACAGGGATATATACAGATTAAGTTTTATTAAATGTTTTTCTTTCTTTTTTTTTTTTTTTTTTTTTTTTATATACGTAATAACAGGAGTTACACAACAATCGTTTAATCCTTTCTCAAGAGGAGAACTTGGCGTTACTTCGTTCAATTCGGATTAATTTGACGTGGAGAATTGAAAGATATTTTTTTTCTCTTTTTATTTTTTCATTTTAAATATTCGATTCGCGCGCCATAAAATTCGAAGTTTTTTTTCTTCGAAGGTGGAACGTTCACTATCGTTCAACTAAACAACTGCTCAGACCAGTTTCTAGGTAAGACTAGGTAGATCTTCTGTATATATATATATATATATATATTCGGTAAATAAAAATGTTTCCAATACATCCGCCACTTTTCGTTCGTTATAAAATTCCGCGAATTTTGTAATGAAATTTCCATGGTTTATTACAGAAGACACGGACCGAACGTTACGCAACTCATTGTTGAACGAAACTTTTATCATCCTTGACGCACAATGAGAGAGAGAAAGAGAGAGAATCGTCAAAAGTTGTATCGATTTACATTTATGCATTACATAGTTTGACGAAATTGTATCGCGCACGATTTACTTTATTATTAGACAAATTGAAGATTTAGAAAATAATCCTAACCTCACTACTGTTAACCTCCACGTTGCTTCGAAGAATAACTACTAAACTCAACTTTACTCTTATCAATATCAAATTTATTAAATTTTCTGCTTCTCTCTCACTCTCGTTCGATTAGAAATTAAAAAAGAAAAAAAAAAAGAAAGAAACGATTTTGAATTTTGTAAATACGATATTCGACGTAACGTAACGTAACGTAACCGTTAAGGAAGAAAAACAAGAAATGGGAAGCGGTGTCACGATTATATTTAAACCTATCCATCCTCGCTATCCAGGATCGCTCGTTCATTTTGTCGAAATTGTTAGGCGATGCCGACATTCACGGGTGTATAAACGACATAAACGACGAGCCTGTGCACGTTTTATTATAGGTAAAGAAAGAAAGGGAAAGGAGAAGAAAAGAAAAAAAAAAGAACACAACAATCGGCAATCTCTCTCGTTCAAGCGATCGAGTGTCTGTCTGTGTGTCTCTGCTACTCACTTCTTCGTGGCCTGAAGAGGGGGGAACGTAAGTCCGCGAGCGATCCAACCACGTTGACTAGCAAGACCAATGCCAACATCCTGATATCCATTTTAATTGAACGAGGTGGAGAGGGAGGGGAGAGGGAAAGAAAAAAAAAAGAAAGAGAGAAAAGAAAAGAAAAGAAGAGGGAAGAAACAAAGGAAGAAACGGTTGAAATAATCGTCGATCACCACCGAGTGAGAGAAGTACGCGCGAAAAATTTCGATCGATACGTACGTGGTCGCAGCTTGCAATGGAATGACTGAGCCAATCGATGCCACCCGTCATCTTATATAGCTCGCATCGCGCGCATCGCTTCCTCACCTCACGGCTTTAATGCGTTTCGATCTTGCTGTCGGCGAGCCGTGCGAAAAATTGCACGATCCAATGAAATTGTTGAAATTATCGGCGAGTAGAACGAACGTTTCTCATTTGCTTAAGCTTGTTTCATTTGTTCCACGGATCTTTCCGTTCGAGAATCTCTCGAATCCATATCGATTCTTCTCTTAATTTCTTCTCGAAGAACGGGATCAAGAAAGGATGTTCTATCTTTTTTCTATCTTTGAACCACATCTTTTGAAAATTTCTCGCTCTTCGTTTACGGAACGTATTGCAGCCTCGATTTTACCGTCAGTGGTAAAAAATTGCGGTTTACTCAATAATAATAATTTTTAGTTTTTACATCTTGTTGTAACACGAATATTCGTCGTTTATTTTCTTCTTCTTTTTCTATGATACGAATAAAGAATAATTTAATATTGATAATTTAATATTGAAAATTTTTGGCTCGTTTGCAGAATATTAAAATAATATCGTAAATAATAATAATTATCTTGTCGTACACGAATATTTGATCAAATATCGGTTTATTTTCTTCGTATTTAAGTAAATCGTATTTAAATTGTTTAATATTGAAAATTTCTGGCTAGTTTGCCAGATTATTAGAAATTAGAATATCGAAACGATTTTCGATTTTTCTATTAATAGTAAAAAACTGCCGCTTATTCATAAATAATAATAACAATCCTGTTGTACACGAATATTTGAACAAATATTCTGTAATATAAATGTTGATAATTTAATATTGAAAATTTTTGGCCCGTTTTTTGCAGAATATTAAAATTTAAAATATCATAAATAAATAATTTATTCTCTTCCTTTTTTTTCCGTGAAAAAATGTTAATAATTTAATATTGAAAATTTCTGGCCTCTTTGCACAATATTAGAATTTAGAATATCATAAATAATAACAATCTTCTTCCTTTCTTTCCCGTGATATAAATGAAAAATGTTGATAATTTAATATTAAAAATTTCCAGTCCAGAATATTAGAAATTAGAATATCATAAATAATAACAATCCTCTTCCTTTTTTTCCCCGTGATATAAATAAAAAATGTTGATAATTTAATATTGAAAATTTCCAGTCCAGAATATTAGAAATTAGAATATCATAAATAATAACAATCCTCTTCCTTTTTTTTTCGTGATATAAATGAAAAATGTTGATAATTTAATATTGAAAATTTCCAGTCCATATTAGAAATATTAGAAATTAGAATATCGAAAATAGTTTCGCATCACGATTCAACCGGTGAAAAACTGCGACTTATTCATAAATAATAATAATAATAATAATCGAATAACAAACGTTCTTACATCCTGTTGTACACGAATACTTGAGTAAACATCGTTTATTCTCCTCGCCTTTTTCCGTGATATAATTAAAAAAAAAATGTTAAAATATTAAAAATTAGAATATCGAAAATCGCCTCTCATCACCGATTCAACCAAGTCAATGGTGAAAAACTGCTGAGTTATTACTCATAAACAATAATAATAATAATAACAACGATACATCGAATCATAATCGTCCTTACATCCTGTTGCACACGATCCAACAATCGATCGAAGATAATCGGGGAATTGTACGTCTTCTATTTTCTTCTTCTTCTTCTTCTTTTTTCCTTTTTCTTTTCTTCAAGCAAGCGCAAAATATTAAGAGAACGATTACAAATCTACGCATATATAATTGATGATTGATTATTGGGTAGCACATAGCAAATTGATACCTTACCGTTTTCTATATATACATTTTCTATATATATATATATATATAGAAAATTACTAGTTTACTAGTGATTCCATGGAAGGATACGATTTTCGTTGGATAAGCTCGGGAAGAAAAACAGCATTCGATGAAATTCGATGAAAGCGATTGCTTCTCGAGAAAAATACTTGCTATCGAGAAACGATACGAAAAAAAAATGAATAAAATGTTTGATCAGATGTGAATTACAATCGTTGATACACTTTCATTTTTTGTTGAATGGAAAATTTTTCTTGAAATTTCGCGATGAAACATCGCTTTTTCTTATTCGAAAAATAGAGAATTTTCGCGTCTATGCACGAGATTTCCACGTTACGCAATATTTACATTACAGAATTCGATCAATCGAGTTGTTAAAGTACATTACACGATGTAAGAACAATTATTATTCGATTATTATTATTATTATTTACGAATAAGTCGTAGTTTTTCATCGGTTGAATCGTGATTACGAAACGATTATTTCGATATTCTAATTTTTAATATTCTGGATAGAATTTAACATAATACAACTCGATTGATTAAATTCAATCTTCATCCGAATAACGAAGAGGATACGTTATTAAAAATTTATATGTTGTTTAAGGATAAATCGTCGATAAGTGGGATAAACAATTCACGATAAATTCTTTATCACGTTTTTCGTTGGTTGAGAGAGAGAAAAAGAAAAATATTTCTCAATTGTGTAACGAATCTCGAACACAGTGTGTGTGCGTGTGTGTGCGTGGGGAATACCCAATACGCGAAAGTTGATTACCTTCTGCGTATTAATCTTTCAGAACGTTTTGCTTTTCAGACAGGCTCGTTCCCTTTTAGAGTCGTCAATACGTTGCTCGAAGGCAAAGTACTCATCCACCGCTCGAGTTCAATGTCAAGAAGCTGTGTAAACCTGCTGCTGGCCCAACACGAATGAATCACGAGCCAGTTGTGCGTATGCTCGTTGTTTCGCACCGTTTAGACCGATAACACGTTCGCGCGGTAACTTCTTTTTCTTTCGACTCGAAGGGTTGCCAACAGTCCGTTCTTCGGTGGACGCGAGCGGCGATGGGCAAAATTTAACGGTTACCTCGGTAAATTGCTTCAAAAATTTATTTAAACGAGGTTTTACGAAAAGCGGGTCGACTGTGACAAGAATAAATTTTTAATTTTTATTTTTGTATGTTCAACTCTATATTCAATGTTTGTCAAGCTTTCGATGCGAAAAAGCAAGTAAAATAGCGTTTCGAAGAATTTTTGTTCGAACGTTGAAAAAATTCAACCTTGTTTCTCGATTCGTGAAAATCGAGGGATTACCCCTGGCCGCTAGCAAACCGTCCTACGCGAGCGAATGTAGGGCAACTCGAGCAGCAGGGACGCAGTGACTCTCAAACCAGCATTTTCTATTTGTTCGAAGTAACTTACCGTATGTATCGTTGATCATCCTCGATTCAGATGATTTCGATTGACAACGTTTCGATATGTTATTTTGTAAATTCTTCCACCGAATCAACATCGAACATTACACGTGTTCGAAATATTGAAATTATTGAAAATAATTGATAAATATCTTGTGACGTATTTAAAAAAAATTCTAAGAAATGCAATAACAAATCGTGATCAAATCGAGATGTTCATTGAAAGAATGAGCAATGTGAATCATTCACGTATAATAATTGATTAAAATCCGAGGAAAATATTCATTTTCATCATTTCATTATTACGAGATGTAATATCGATTATCTCGTATGATTTACCGTATATTTTCCTACGATTGAGCATTATAATATATGCCATTCAATACTTGGTGAATATTCAATGATTCACTCACATTAATTATACTGATAATATATACCGTAGAATCACGTGTTTGAAATATTTTAAATCTGTACACAACGGTAAAAGAAAAAAAAAAAAAAAAATAGAAATATCGTTTATCACAATTGAAAACTTAATTTGAAATCGATCAATCATTGGAGAAAAATGTTAGGAAAGACCAGAAACGTAATTCATTGTTTATAGAAAGAAATATGGAAATATTCAACCAGAAATTAAGACAATTAGAAAATTCTCAATCATTCGTGATGCGACAATACAAAACGAAAAAAGATACGAGACTTGTATGATTTCGATCACATTGTACAAATAAATATGAGAAATTTAAATACCCACGAAATAATTTTATACGAAATTAATGATCGTTCCTCGATAATCCCATTTCTTTCTGTACGAGTCACCGCGTGATCGTAACTCTATTCGTCGAAGAGTATTACGTGGGTGGACGCGAGACGAATGCCAATAAGGATTTTAAGGTCGTTCATACTTATTGAAAAAGGGCGGAGAACGATCGTGTTCGAGCCAGAACAGTCTTAGAGATGGCCGGGAGCATCTTTCATCGTTGTGTTGTGCCGTTGTGTTTCATTGTGTTGATGGTCGCGTGGGCAGGTAAAAATCACTTGCTTGCACTAACCTAATTTATAGGACGTTATTTTTTTTTAACAACTTTCCTTCCTGTCATACGATCTGACATCCATTATAACTGATAATCGATACGAATAATCGTTATGAACTATGTAAATGATCGATGTGCAGTGGATATTAACTTGATTCCAATTAGAAATCTGCGTAATAATAAGTGCGAAGCAACTGGGATCGTAGACAAGATACGTATCACGTAAAGCTTCGTTTCACAGATGATCGAGTTCTTCTCACGGAAGAGGACGAGCGACGATGGAACACACCACCTGAGCTGATCCCAGAGCAAGTGATCAAAGAGTCTGATGCGAAAGCACGATCGTTGTCCGTTTCAAGCGCGGAGAGCAATGCGCACTCTTTCGGTTTTCAAGTAAGGCCAGAGGGCGTTAGTTACTCTCAAAGCAACAGTTTCGGTCGTCCATTGTCTCAAACGAGTGGGTACGTTTTCGTTCTAAGTCGAGAGGAATAAAATTTTCTCTATTGACAACAAACATCGGATTAACTTGGTTAATTAAATTCATCAAGAACGAACTTTTCGTTCACTGTGTAATTTTCAAATATATAAATATGGATAAATGCAATTTTTCAATTTTTTTTTTTTGAATTGAATTGCGTATTTGTTTCTTTAGAGTCATTTCGCAAAGTCAGTCAGTGTCGTTCGCAGCAGGATTAACAGGGATCGCTGGTGCTCTATCCGTCAGTCAATATTATCCCGTATATGGGAATCAAGGGAATGTGGTTAGTTTCGGCAGTGGAACTTCTTCTTCTTCTTCGTCGGCCGCATCCTCTGCAGGTTCCACGCATTCCTTTTCCTCTTCGCCGCATGTAGCCACGATTGAACTCGTCAAAGGAATGCCTGTTAGATTTCCTGGACAGAGTCAACATCGACCAATATGGACTAATATTCGTCCTAATATTAATAATAATGGTAATTTATTTAATATGGTAATAATAATCTAAATGGTAATAATTTATTTAATCGATTGAATTTGTTTTTTTTATCTGAGAAATTTGAAGTCTAAGGGAAAAAAACTTTTTTTTTTTTTTTGCGTTGCTATAAAAAATTAATTTCTTTTTTTTTTCTTAGGTCCTTCGCGTATCCCAAAATTAGAAATAGAAGTGAAGAAACCACATCAATATGAGCAAAAAGAAAATCGTTTCCCGATCGATTTAAGCATTTCGACACAAGAAACGAAATTGAATAATAACAGACCCACAATTCAGATACATAAATGGCGACCTAGTAATGATGATGAAATATTTAATAATCGATAAATGTAGATGGATATAATTGTAGAAATTTTTTTTAGTTGATTGTTAAATCGTTTTATTAATGATATAAATAAATATTCGATATTTCAAAAATCGATTTTGTAATAAATCGTTTGATTTGTTAATAACATATTTTCGAATAAATAAAAGTTTAAAGAATAAATTTAAAATTCATGGTAAAATAAACTAATAATATATATAATACGATATTATAAATTTTCAAAAACATGTTGTATAAACGTTGAATTAGAAACTATTCATAAATAAAGTAATTTGTTGTTTCTTGTTGTTCCGTTATTGATTTATTTTTCTTAAATTTCCTAGAATTATTACATAAGTGCGATGGATAAATTACCAATTAGTAATATAGTTAGCAAATAAAAATAAATAAAGCGATTTATTTTTCGACGATCGGATTATCGATAAAAGTTATTAAACTTTCTATCATTTATACGTTACATTCGAAAATTTAATTCCGTATTAATGATAAGTAGGTGAAGGAGAATGGAGGATCGAAGGTCAAATTGTAATCTTGAACTTTCTTGTGGCACTTGTGGAATTGCTGATAGCTATCGCTATCTTTAAGATGCAGTGTGTAATGGTAAATAACTCTGATGATATTATCGAATCATGATAGAATAGGAAATTTATTGCGTTGGTTATGGTATTCACGAATGGTAAATTATATATTTCTGAAATGATTCGTTTATTTTTTAAATAGTGAAAGTGATAATTATAATATTTAATTAAATTTTTCAAATTTTGACACTGGATATCGTGTCAAATTTATTACACATTTCATACTTAAGTTTTGATAAGATAAACTAGAATATAAAACACTTAAATTATTTATTTATTTTTTTCCCAGTCGATTTCAGAAAATCGATACACGATAAATAGTCTAAAATTATAAAATTTATAAAATGTAAATTTAATAAAAAAAAAAGTAAATTTCGATACGTAATTATCTCTTCGTGATGAGACCTGATAATTGTTATCATTTTTCTAAATTTATATTTATAAAAACTTTCTTAATCTTTGAAAATTTTGCAAATATTGTATTGTTTTTTACGAAAGCGATACTAAATTAAAAACTACGTATTATATATTTGCATTCAATAACGTACCCAAGATTTCATTTAAAAAATATATTAGATTAAAATTTTAAATTTAATTAATATATATAAAAATATATAATATATATAAATTTTTATCATGAATTTAAAATTTATTTTAGTTTAGCATTTTTTCCTTGGTTATGTCCACGAATATAAATATGAATATAAAATATTTTCGGTAAATAAATCGCGACCATGCGAATGTATGACGAAGAGAGCAAATATTAGAAGAAGGATAGAGATAATAAAAATATTGAAATCAGCGCCATCTTCAGAGTGCCGCAAATGAAACTTGGTACACAAAGACAGAAAATAATAAAAGAAAGATAGAAATAGAATAAGATCTGACCTTTAGCTTCATCTATTGAGTACTAAAGATATCTTCCAAAAACAGGATAAAGTAGATAAAGAATTTAGGATCAGTACCATCTGTTGATTGTTTTTGGAAACACAAACTTTTGACGAAATATCTTTGGTAATCGAGAGATGTCGCTATTGATTAATTCTCATTCTATTTCTATTTTTTTCTTATTATCTCCTGTCCTTTCTTTGTGAGTTTCATTTGCGGCACTCTGAAGATGGCGTTGAATACATAATTTTTAATCTATCTCCATCTTTTTCTACTATTTTCCTCTCTATTTATTCTACAATCTAAGTACAAATGCACTTGAGAAATGGTACTAGTTTCTGATTAACTTTATCGTTACCCAATTAAAAATCTTAATAATTTATTGTATCCTTTTTTGTAATCTTTACAAATGAATCTTGATCAACTTTCTCGTTTGATAAAATTTTGTAATTCTCATTGCTTTCTAAAATTCTTTGTTCAAAATACTTAAAAAAAAAAATAAAATAAAATAAAAATACTTTATTAAAAAAAATTAGAATTATAAAATTTCATTATTGATTTTTTTTGAAAATTGGAAAAGTGATTCCAAGCTACAAACTATCCACAATCTAATCTGCAATCCAGTCTAATATTGCGTAATTTTTTTTCCTTATTTTTGATTATTTGTTATCAAATGGATTGCAGATTCCAAACAAATTCTACACAAACATTTTCCTCTTCCTAAATCAAATTTTCTTATAGAAAACATTAACTCTTTGGCAACGTGTCAATAACTTTATATCAGATAAGAATATCCTTGATACAAATTTATTTTTTAAGATTAAGATGCTTGCTTTTAAGATATTATTATAAGATAACTAAGTAAACGCATTTGATAAATTCTCCAACTTAAAACGAATAATAAATTTCATCTTTTATATTTTTTTTCTCATTTTTATTCTCCTTTCAATAGAATCAATTTTCTTCAATGCATCGTCTCTTTTCCAAGCCAAAAATTCCTCAAATCTTGATTTCGAAGATATCAGAATCACATATCGTGCTATGTAGCAAGAGTCATTAGACTCTACTTCCTATTGGTCAATCGAAGGTCCTGCGCTTTGATCGATCGAGTTCCTTCCTGTACTCAACCAAAGTTAGATCTTCCAATCGACCGTTGTCCTCGAAATACATTCCAACATTTTTCTATACTTTCTATTCACTCTATTTTTTTTTTCCTCCTTCTGTCTCTATACTTCTTTCTGTATCGTCGAAACAAATACGTTCTTTTTTGCCAAATCGCTGTCGCAACTTTTGATTAATTACGATTGGTGAGTCTGATTATCTACTATATAAAGTTTACTGATGTAAGTCTAGGTTTGTTTTTCAAAGTTTTTTTTTTCTTTTCCAATTGCGTAATTATCATTTTCTATTTTTTCTCACTTCACTTTAAACATAACGAGCGTATCCTTGATACGAATTCTATTATATCTCTATTGATTTTAGATTTTATTAACGCAGTAGGATTCAAATTAAATTAGTTTTAAGTAATTAAATTAATTAAGTAATTAATTAAATTAGTTTGAGGTCTGATCGTTGGTTTTATTTTTAGATTTAATCTTATATGTGTGATATAATTACAATTGATTGAACAATAATTATTAGTATTTTGTATTTAAAGTGATTTTTAGCTATTCCAATTTTTTTTTTTAATTTAAAGTGAATATTTATTTTCAATTTTTCTTTCTATGTTTTTCAACATTTTCTCATTTTTAATTTATAATGTTAATCTATGTTTAATAATTTATTTTTATTGTTTTTTCTATTGGTTATTTTGTAGAGAGTTCTTTCTGGTAATTGGTATCATTTTTTAAAAAAAATCGGCTAGATTTTCTAAATTTAATTTATTAATATTTTATATATATATATTTACGAAGTTTTTAAAGAAAATTAAATNAAATAAGAATGCTCAACAAACAAATCATTTTTTAAAAAAATTTTTTATTCAAATATTTTTTTTTTTTACACAAATTTTTAATAATTAGAAAAATAATTAAAAACTTTTATCACATTCGATTAATGTTCTTACGCTTCGATGTTCAACACAGATATATTTAGAAATTTACAAAATTGAAATTGAAATAATTTTACGATGAAGAATTATTCTCTCTCTCGTTTTTCAATCTTACGTTGAAAAAAGTTTGTTGTGCATCGGTTATCGAATAATTTTCGTTCAATTTATCTAATTTTGCATAGAATATAACATCGCTTATAAGTTTTTCCGCTATTATTCTCTGCCGCTCGTTCAACTCTCGAAGATCATAAGCAATCTTTTTCCCAGTAATATCAAGCCAATCTTCTTGAACCCGAGAATTAGTTGTTCTATCATTTAAGCTTGTATTTGTCATCTCGGCTAGCTGATAGTTTTTGCCCCCGCTTTTTCTTTTTCGCTTCAATACTTTTTTCGTAACCGAAGATGTTGATGATAAAGAAGAACTTGGCCTGCTCGACACTTCCGAACATGGCGATAAATTATTTCCTCTTATATCGATGTCGTCTTGTCTCTAAATATATGTAAAAAAAAAAAAATATATATATATATATATATATATATATATATATTTATTTATTTTTTAAGAGTTAATATTTAACGATGCGTTGAGAAGCTAGGTCGAATATTGAAAGGAACAACAAAAGGCGATAAGATTTTTCAGAGGTGGGAGTAGACTCCCACGCATGTTGGGTTAAAACATTGCGTCCATTGACTAATTAATTCTGTATATATATATAAATAATTAAGCAAATGATAATTAATTTTTCTTTTTTTTTTAAGATATCAGATATTATCCATGATTAACTTACTCCATTATCGTCACGATCAATTTCCAAATCCGCATCAGCATCGTTAAAATTTTCCCCCTTCTTCGCATCATCGCAGTTTGTTATAAAACTTAAATTATCGAAATACCAGAGACTCGGTACGTATACGTTTTTCCCCGACGCTTTCGCCCGTTTAACTTTATTCAACTCTCTTCTGAAACTGCATCGCAAGTTGTGAATTTTTTTATTAACGAAATCTTTATTCGACATGGAATTTATCTCTTTGCATTTGTCGATTAAAACGTCCATCGCATGGTTTCTTAGATTTCTGTCCATGTACGACTTCGATCTTATATCCCACAAACACGGGAAACTCTTGTACAATGCGATGAATTCTTCCCAAAATTTACGATCTCCTATCGAACACATATTCTACTATACTATAGAAAAATTTCCTATAAAAGTAATGAGTCTTTCAACGAAAAAAGTGGCACGATTTTGTTGCACACGATAATACAAACTGTCTCGAGGCAAGTTGCTCGGGTAAGTGTCGTCTCTTGTACGTAGCTTACAACGATTGCCTCAGCGATACGTCATGCAACCTGATATGTATGTATCAGAAACTAGTGCCTCGCTACACGCGGCGAGGCATGTCTCACCGTGTGTAGGAAACTCGGATACACGGTACAATGAGAATAATGTGGCAACACTGCTCTTGCAAACGGTAGAGTCCGATTGTTGAAACTAGGAGTCTTGGGATAGATTCTGCTGTTCAATTTTGATTCTCATTCTTTTCTGGAGGAATTAATAATAAAAAATATACATGATATTCTTTAATATGCATATATAAGCAATATATAAATATTTTATACTTGCAGTAAGTAGAAATAATATACCAATATTTTGGTTATTGTATTCATGTTCTTTTTATTTTACGCGTTAATCTTTGACGAATAAGTTTGTAAAATAAATTTAAATTATTTTTAAATGAAATTACAGTTTTTAAGTGTGGACAAAGAAACTTATGAAAATTGGTAAAAGTATAAAGAAAAGAAGATCGTTAATACCAATAAGCGAAAGAGGTTAAGTGGAGATATAAGTGGAAATGAGCGTAAAAGATAACTTACGAGAAAAGTTGGTTAGGGGAAGATCATTGAAATCAATTAGATTAGAAGATAATATTATATTATTAGCATTAATACGCATATAGTAATATATAAATTTTTTATATTAAAATTTTATACGATAGAAATGCCAAGACGTTGCTGTATTCCTGGCTGTAAGGGAAATTACGACAGCACTTTGAAATCAAATAATTATGCTTCCGTTTTCCTCTTTCCAAAGAATGAAGAATTGAGAAAAAAATGGTTAGCTGCTATTCCTAGAAAAAATTGGTCTCCTACAAAATATTCTGCAGTTTGTAGTTTTCATTTTGCTGAAAATGATATTCAAAGATATGAAAAAATTGTATGTACTAATAATACAATTGAAAATGTTTTATTGTGTCGTCCAAAACTTGTAGAGAATGCAGTACCTTCTATTTTTCCTAATGTGTCAACTTATTCAAGACACGAAAGTAAAAAAACCTTTTATTCAAGACTGAAACGCAGAAAAAATTTCAAAGAACATAATTATTCCAAGCAACAAGTTATTCCAAATGATGAATGTTTAGTCCAAGAATGTAAAGACTTAGATTTAATCACAGATTTTTCAAATTTAGTGAATAAGTATAAAGAAAAACTTATAATTTCAGATTGTTGGAATATCAAATTAATAAAATCTAAAATTTATTTTTATAAACTTGATTATGAAAATGATATTTTAGTACTTAATACTCAAATTGTTATTAATGACCAAATGAAATTATATGTTTTTCATAAAGGTAATAAAATTTCTTCTCATGAATTAAAATGGGTATTACCTGGTGATATGAAATTATCCAGGTGGTACCAACTTCAAAATTTATTGACATGGTATAAATCTACACCTGATGTACCTGATAGTGATGAGATAATTCTTATTGAATAATATCTTAAGAAGTTTTTAGACATGTGCAATAATATATATATATATATAATAATATATATATATATATATTATTGTAAATTATTATAGTAGACTAAAATAAAAAATAGAAAATACTATTTGAGAGTTTTAATTAAGTCTTTTTTTAAATAAAGACTAAATAACTGTGCTATAAAAATAAAAAGAAACTAATTAATATAAATAAGAAACAAATCTATTGTATTACTACTATGTACATATTATATAATATACTATATATATAATTCATTGTTTGTTATTTATAATAATAACCATATACATTTTATAATGACGTGGAAAATTATATCGAGTAGAATATATTTACATCAAAATCGGACTCACCAATGTTGCCAGATTTATATTGAATGTAACTAGTAGTAGTAGTAGAATAAGTTGTGAATGTATAGGACATTATAATCGATGCTGCATCTAATGCAGTAATTCAAAGACTATCGCCATAAAAGAATTGTAGTACAACAGAGAAAATAGATAAGATTATAAAAAATTTTAAACGAAACATTAAATATTATTAAATATAAATTTGATTTTTGAAAAAGCAGTATTTATTATTTAAAATAATTGAAATAATGAAAGATAATATTATTAAATATAGATCAGTAATATAAAAAGCAAAATTGACTAAAGATATTAGATAGATATTCGAAAATTGTAGGAAATATGTCACATTTTTTTCAAATTACATTTTCCTATTAAAAATTGTGATTTTAATAGAAACATATAATTAGAAAAAGAATGACATATTTAAATTTTAATTAACATATTAAATTTGATATATTTATTTTTTATATAAAGTCTTTAGCCATGTATATAATATTCATATTTTAATATTCCCATTTAATCTACATTTTAATCAAATAAGATATTTTATATATAAAATATATGTAAAATGTACATAAATTGTAAAAAGATGCAAATTATAATTATTTCTTGTATTTTTCTGTACTTAACTAATCATTTTTTCGAAAAGTGCTCAAATTTGTCATGCATTATTACCAACAAATGAATTTTTTAATAGTCTTTGATCAATGGCGCCATCTCTTCGAAAAGTATTGAATTAACGAAGTAACGAACAGTTACCAATTGTAAAGTTTCAACGATTTTCACAGAGATGGCGTAACTGCCCAAAGACTATAAATAAATTAAAACTACAGTCGGTAATAATATACAACAAGTTTGAACATTTCTCAAAGAGATGACGCTACTAATCAAGTACTATTAATTGTCTATCCTTTTTCTATTATTTACTGTCCTTGTATAATAAGTTTCATTTGCGGCACTCTGAAGATGGCGTTGATTCCCGAATTTTTATCCTATCTTTGTCCTTCTCTTATTATTTCCTCTCCTTGTCTGTACTTTTATACACAATTTATGCTCAAAAGATGGCTTTGATATCCGATTAATTTTAGTGTCTTCTTTTCCGAATTTATTCTATATATCAATTTTATATGTATATATCTGCTTTCTTATAATTCTCTATTCTTCTCTTCTGCATGTATTTTTATATTCATCATGGAACATTTGCTATTCTCGTTCTATCCATAAATTATTTTTTTTTTTTTTTATTATTTGCTAAGTTTTTATTACAAATACTTTGAATTGGCTTATAATTGTTGAAGGATCATTATTCAGAAAAATTAACTTTCTACATTTCCGCAATCTATAAGAATAGCAAATGATGTATTAAAATAATGAATATATGACATAGAAAAAGATGATTATATTTCAATGTTAAGTAAAAGCTTCCTTGACACATTACATTATGAAAAGTTTCTTATTGAGTTGTAACAATGCGTTAATAGATAATTTAAGAATGTACGTATAAAGCGACAGAAATATCAAAGGTAAAGCAACTGAGATATAATTCAGAGATACATAAGATATATTTTAAATATATATATTCTTAAAAGTAATTAAGTATTTTAACAAATAAATTTTATATAAAATAGAATTAAATAAAATATTGAAAAAAATGAAAAATAGTAACTGAAAAAAGTAAGTATAAAAGAAATACAGGAAAATAAATATTCCAAGGAAAATATAGGTAAATATATAAAATTTGATAAAAAATTTTTATTTCTGAAATTTTTGGAAAAATTTCGCGAACGACTTGCTTTCACTTTATATTTTATTGCTATATTGTCGAAAATTTGAAATTTAGATAAAAATTGTTAGAATCGGAATTCCTGGAAAAATTCCTCGATCGACCTCCTTTCAACTTATATTCTCCTGATACAAAGTCGAGTTTTCGGCCAAAATTTCATTCGCTCTATCCATTTCGAAATTTCCAAGAAATTTAGAAATTCTAGGAATTTGACGTCATTTCCAAGAACTGCCGAAATTCTGGGAAAAATTTCTCGAACGACCTCCTATCAACTTATGTTCTCCTGATACAAAGTCGAGTTTTCGACCAAAAATTTTAAATTTTAAGAATTTCGAAATTTCCAGGAATTTTAGAAATTCTAGGAATTTGACGTCATTTCCAAGAACTGCCGAAATTCTGGGAAAAATTTCTCGAACGACCTCCTATCAACTTATGTTCTCCTGATACAAAGTCGAAAATTTGGCCGGGCTGAAATTTTAACTTTGTATCAGGAGAATATAAATTGAAAGGAGGTCGCTCGAGAAATTTTTCCAGGAATTCCGATTCCAAGAATTTTTTTCAAAATTTGAAATTTTTGCGTTTCGGCGACCGGATTTCGAGATTTTCTATTAAGAGAATATAATTTCAAAGAAGTGTCATTTAATATACTTACCTTTATACTTACCTTTATACTTACCTTTTTAATCTCTCTTTTTTTCAGAAAATAAGCATTTTTTCATCATTTTACTTAATTCTAGTTTTATATATATTAATAATAATACTTATCTGTTTTATACTTACTAAGAAAATTAAGAAATATACCGGGTGTCCCGCTTGTTTTTCATAATATTAAAAAATGTTTCAGATAAAAAGGTTTCAAGAAGGATATATTTTGTCGGTAAAGAACTCATGAAATTCAACTTTATTTCTTCAAATAGAATCAAATACTTCTTCATTCGCTGTATCTCGATGTATCTAGATATCCTACAAAAAAAAAAAAAAAATATCAGAAAAATGATCATTTTAAGAGATAATATAATTGAAGCAATAGTTTTTGCTCGTACATGGTTTAAAATAAAATTCTTTATATAGAACAATAACGTAATGAATTTACTTACGTATTAAGAAGAATATATGATGATGACCATTCAAAAAAAAAAAGACAAAAAAAGAAACAAAGTTGACTTTCATGTAACCTTCACGTGTTCTCCGAGCAGAAAAATAATTACACCGCATTACTCTCCTATTTGAAACCATTCAACTTTTATTCGAAATAATTTTCATTACACGGAAGAGTAATGACGTAAATTTCAAGACGATAATACCCTTTTCATTTTCTCAACTCACGTGGAGAATAACTTGATCACACGACGATGTGATATTTCACCGTGCTAATGGGTACATCGAATCGTATAAAAACAATTCGATTCTTTCAGCGCACAAAATTTCTCTTCTTTCATTTTCCAATAACATTCTATATTGAAAAAACCGCAACACCGAAAGGAAGCCAAGTTTACGCGAGAAACAATGCCCTTTTACGACGTATTTCGAGGCCGTGTTGAAATGGACGGGGAGGAGAGGGGGAAGAAGGAGAAGCGGGAGAGTTCGCCCATTAAAAATAATGTTCCTTCACGATTGGTGGATGAAGTATACGCGGTGGATAACATAATTGTTTTAACTGAATCGTGAGCGTTGGTGAACGTCATCCAACATGACTATATTACAGGTAATTTAAAAAATCCCCGTCCGTCCGTTAAAACGTCTAATCTACCTGTACCTAGAGCCGGCTATTTAATTGCATACCGATCTATCTACCGATGCTATCGTATTTATATACCGTGTGTATATCAGTATCAACGAATGATTAAACTTACCGCTAAACTTATTCTTCAGGATCAGATGAACTTCCAAGAACTTGTTGTTTCCTTTTTTCTAATAAAATTATCTAGAAATATGGAACGAGCAGGAGGAATTGTATAACTTGTTAACTGGGTGAGAATTTTTACCAGAATTCACTATACGCGAGTGAAAAATAATTTGTGGAAAACACGGAAAAATACGCGTAACGCGGTAGGGAAAAAATTCAAACTCAATTCATTGGACGTACGGTGATTACGTGAGCAACGATTATATAGCGGAAAATTCGTTGTTAATAAGTAATAAATTTCGTATTTTTTAAATCACAGAAGATTTATTTCGATTATTCGTGAAACGATGGATAATAAATATTCGAACGAATTACTTTCTCTTAGAGCTTTCAATTGTACGGTCATCGAATTCCTTCATTCCTCCGTTCGTATTCATATTCATTTGTCTCTATAGGCCAAGGTTATGGAAGGATTAAGATTCTGAAACAGGAAGACCTCGAAGCGATTACTCGTTTGATAGCTTTTAAACCTTCCACAATTTGTATAATACGAATAGGTGATCTCACTCACTTTGTTTAAGGATCTTCATAAATTATGAAACCAGGTGGGGTTTACACGAATAAGAAAAAAAAAAAAAAAAAAAAAAGAATCGTGCGCAAGTATCGTTCAGAATTTTCCTAGTAATTAATTATCTATATATATATATATATATCATCGAGATGAAGATTGTATCGTATTATATACTTTATAATCGGAAAAAAAAAAATCTTCTTCGTTAAAATTTATACAAAATTTACACAAAATGTGTAAATGTATATATTTTTATTACCATATCGTTTAACTTCGTTGAATAATTTAGTTTGCATCATTGCCACGTTCAGGTCGTTATCTTATCTTTGAACAAAAAAAAAAAAAAAAAAAAAAAAAAGAAAAATAAATCAATTCCTTGAACCAACATTCAGAAATATTAATTATTAAGCAGATCAAGTGAACTTTGATTCGATTAATAAATTTGAAATCGATGTATTATTATTTAATGTACATGCGGAAGAATAATCATAACATTTCAGAGGAACGTAATATTACTATTGCGATGCATTTATGCGTGATTCATGTAAACACCTACTTGATATTCACAACACTCTTCCCTCTCCCCCCTCTCTTTTTTTATTTCATTTATGTGATTTATTATCTATTGCAATGATTCTGCGCACACGAATCATTATCCGTTTATATATAATTTTGAATATACGTATAAAGCATTTATATCGATAATATTCGTGGAACAAATTTGAAACAGTGTGATTTTTTACACGTAACGATGATCATCGCGAATCACATTGAATCGATTGAATCTTAATTTAAAATAAATCCTAGAATTCGTAATTATAATATTAATCAACTTGATTACTTTATTTCCTTATTCTATTTCAATTCTAATTTTTACTACTACTGCGTACCGACGTATGATAAGTTATATAATTTATTAGGAAATTGATATTGAACGAGAAAAAAATATACTTGTCCAATTTTTAAATTCAAGAGAAGAGAGGATACGATACGAGTTTATTTCGAGTTTTCAATCAAATACTTTTCACACGTTAAAAATAGACGTTCTTGAATAGCCTTGAATGATATAAAATAAAGTGAGTCGGTAATTCAGAAAGAATTAAAAAAAAGCTGTTAATATATGTATTAAATTATGTATATTAATTATTATACATTATGTATATAAATCGGTACATTGTAATTTTTTCTTTTTTTTCTTTTTTTTTTTTTTTCGTCTCTTACGGAAAATTATATGAATTTTAAAATTATTACGAAGATGAATACCAATTATCGATTATTAATTCTCCTTTAAAGATGATTTCTAACTCTCGTCTCCGTATTGTATAATCAAAAAAATAACTCGACGGTATTAAATAACATTAAATAACACAGAAGAGAAGTTAATTACAATTCATTTTTCTACGTTAAAAATACTATACTTTTTTTTTTTACATAAGTAAAAAATAAAAATTCATTGAATTACGAATTATTTATTTTATTTGAATCGTCGATCAATAACGATACTCTTCGTAATCAGTTGATGCAACAAATTGAATAACGCATCGACGTTATTTAACTCGTTCGAAGAATTGATAAGTAATTTTTCAATTTCTTCTTCTAATCTGCTCGACATAACCAATACTCGTGCCAGTTCATCAGAATTGTTTCATTGTAGTCACGTTTCCCTGAAACGATTGAAATTCGTTAATTAATAAACAGTTAGAGATAACGATGGATAAATTAATTAATATAAAATTAGATGGATTCCAGATATACTTGTACGAATATGTTTTTAACAAAGCGTGTGATTATTGAATTAGCACGAAAAACAAGAGTGGAGAGCTAGCACGAGCTCGAGTGGAACTGGAATTCCCACGGAAAAACCAAAAATATTAGGTTGCATTGATGTGGATGCAATGTCGATGGGAAAAGGATGGAGAGGTGGCTCGTCGGATTACATAATTGGTTTGATGTAGTGCGTGTATAAAGATCGATGGCTATAAAAGCAGTAAGATGAAAGAACCGATCCACAGTATAATCTCGGAGTTAACGAGCACTCCACAATGGTTAGTGAAACAGCAAGGAGTTTTAGGGCCTTGCTGCTGCTTTTATTTGTCGGTGCCCTTTCGGCAGCGCCGACTATAGGTAAGTGAATACCGCAGTTTTTTGAAAAAATTGTTAAAAAAAAAAAAAAGAAAGAAAGAAACAAGAATATTCGTTTCTATCTTTTTTTTTAATAAAAAGTAAACAGAAAACACACATAATTAGCTTCATCGTTGTAAGTTGAATGATTTTGTTTCGATCCAATCGAAATTTAATCTTTTTAGAAGAATTTTTCTCATTTCTCGATTCGAATACGTAAGTTGATTTGACGTTTTCTAGAAGATGCGGAGAACACTACTTTATCGACGGAACTCAAGCCTCCTCCTTACCCGCAAAAGGAAGAGGACCATTACTATATGGTGTTCGTTATAAATATTTTTGGCGTGAAAAATGTTAGCGGTGAAACGTCCGATGAAATTTTGGAAAACGATATCGTTCATCATATCCCGCAATTAACAGGTAATTGAAAGCATATATTTTCTTTTTTATGATAAATTTATCGACGCGAAGAAATGGGAGATCCTTGACGGGTTTAAATTTAATTGAAACAGATCCGTTGGCGACTCTGCTTCTAATCATCGACGTCGACGAGAACGATGAAGATACGGATGAAGCGGTGGATCTCGATGAAGTTGCGGAAGATCTGATTAAGGACGAGGAGGATTTCAATGTGGAGAAGATCAATTATGGCGGTGAAACGAAAGTATTGAGGCTGAAACTTTCTAAGGAGGAAGGAGAAAGCATATTTCCCTCGAAATCGAAATTGGAAAAATTGAAGAAAATCCGCAACAAGAGGACACTTTGTGTCAAGTGTGGAGGATCCGGAGGACTTGGAGGTGGAGGAGGATTTGGTGGTGGATTCGGTGGTGGATTCGGTGGTGGAGGAGGCAAACCTGGATGTGCAAGTGGTAGTTGTGGTGGTGGTGGCTATCCTGGTGGAGGAGGTGTTTACCCTGGTGGTGGTGGCTATTATCCTGGTGGAGGAGGTGGTTATCCTGGCGGTGGTGGCAAATATGGATGTGCAGGTGGTAGTTGTGGTGGTGGTGGCGGCTATCCCGGTGGAGGAGGCGGTTATCCAGGTACGATAGAATGAAAAATAAATTTATGCTTTCATTTAATTTTAATTACTCGAAAGCTTGATTATTCGAGATATGAATTTTTACTGCAAACGCATCGCTAATATTTTAACTTTTTACCGCTTGCAATTAATGAAAAAATAGGCATATCGCGTGTTATATTCTCTAGCTTTTTAAAAAAAGGATCAAATGCATTTAATGAGGATAATAATAATAACAAAGCGCCGCTTCCGCTTCTAACGCTGATTGAAGGTAATTTTTTGTAGGGCATTCAAGAATAGATGTTATACCAGTTATTGTTGTACCCGTTGCAGGTGGTGGATATCCATCCGGGGGTGGTGGATATCCATCCGGGGGTGGTGGATATCCATCAGGAGGCGGTGGATATCCGTCCGGGGGCGGTGGATATCCATCCGGAGGTGGTGGATATCCATCCGGAGGTGGTGGTTGCAGCACATGGTATGATTCCAAATTTTCTTTTACAATTTAGAATAAAAAATCTCCACGATAAGTATTCGTTTATTCGGATTAAAAGAACATTTATTTTCTAATATAATAATAATTTTCTGTAATAATAATTTAATATATTTGCAATAATATTTCTTCTGTTATGCGATTCCAGTGGCGGAAGTTCATATGCTTCGGCATCGGCAAATGCAAACGCACAAGCAGGAAGTGGCAAATGGTAAAAAATTTTAATCTTTTATTTTTTATATTAATTTCTATATAAAATATTAATTTCTATATGTGAGAGTTATAGTAATCGATAATTATAGTAAAAGAATACGTATAATAAAATTTAAAAAAAAATGGAATTAAATAACAATATAATATATAATTATTATCATTGTTTCAGGGGATACATATAAATACAAATTTAATGGAATATAAGAACAACGAAAATATTCCACACTACATGCTGCCCAAAATATTCGAAAATTCAAATTCAACGAAAGTGATATTAATTTGTATCGAATTTGTAACATTCGCCATTTCGATTTCGATCCCTGACTAACATGTATCGAGCACCGAATAAACAAGAAAAATAAATAAACAGGTTTCGTTTTTTAATGAAAGCTAAGGATTCATTGAATTCCTATTCGAAGGCAAGCAATTTCCAGGAAATAATCGCAAGTTTCATCCGTGATTGATGTCCATCGTTAAAAGGGGAGAACCGCAACGCGTTAACGAGAATCATTTTACATGCAGTGTACATTGCATGTACGCTTAATGCGCTTGAATCTATTAATTCTTGCGAACTACGAAAAAAAAAAAGAAAAAAAAAAGAAAAAAAAAAGAAAAGGAAAAAAATACTCATCCATATGTATGATAATAAGATAATCGATCATTCGTATCGTGAAATTTTTTATTCGTATTTGTATTGATCTTGAAAAAATATTGCCACTCTTTACGAGAGTCAAATTGACAAAAATTGGAAACATAGAATTTCGCTATTCGGTTCGATTAAATAAATTGAACTATAAAGCAACAGATATCGAGTGATTCTTAAACAGAGATCGAAGAATGAATTACATATAGCTACATACCTCTTAATGGCTGTAAGATAGCGACTCGATCGCTATTACTAATATAATTCGCGATAAAGTACACAAGACCGGTTTAATTACTTCTTGCATCGACTCTTGTTAATAAAACTTGAATGAAAGTATTCCTCCGTGAATCTTCGTGCACACCTGAGCTGAAGTATATACATGCTGCACGAGATGTCTAAACGTATATTCTTCTGCAATAAAAACCAAAAGTTATCGAATCGAGAAATTCTAATAGTAGAAAACATAACTTCCATTTCATCGCGTCTTATTTACCCCTTATTATCATCCATTTTATCAGTCATTGATTCGAAAGAGTGAAATCAACAGGCAAATGACTACTTGAAAACTAACCTAATACGATGCACTGCGTGTTCGCACGAAGATAATTGTCACAAAAGCAAATTGGCATCTATATAATCACTGATCGAACATCTCTCATGGATATCGTGACTCGATTTCGAGTAATTACTCGTCTAAAAAAAAGCTTAAAAGATTTGCCGTTGAAGCGTGTACACGTTTTCCTACACACATACACTTTCCTCTCCCGCAAGTAGCAAACTCCATGCTGTAATTATGGCGCGAGTTGGGTGAACATAACGGTAAAGTTTCGATTCTTTTCTCTATTTTTCCAAGCCTGTCAGCAGGAGGAACGAGCATGCGCGCACGCTTGCGGAACGGATTCTGCGCCGAAACCGAGTCAAACCATCGTGTCACTAGGCAATAGATTTTGAGCGTTGCAAATACGCGATTCAGATTGTCCACGCTATCGAATTCTTTTCAACCTATCGAGCAAGAGTTCGTCGAACTTGAGGAAAGAAATAAATACGCAACATTACTTTGATCTATATGATCAGCGTTTCTCAACTTGTTGGATTTCGCGATTATATCCATATTTCGACGAATTAATTTTCGTGAAAGAAATTAATCGAACTATACTACGACTAGTTGCGTGTGTTACGAGCGGAACGAAAATTTCGAAGAAGATCGAAGGAGAAACCGAGGCTCTGATTATTTCACCGGTCGGAGTGAGTTTTTACCTGTTTGCCCCTTGTTCGCCCAGTTTTTCCTCATTGCGCTCTCCATCCAGAAGACCTCGAGGGTCGTTTACTGTCGGCGACGGTCAACGACCGGAAAATACTTCGCAGATCGCGAAGAAGAAGAGAATTGGCAAAGCGTTACTCGTGATTCAGACTTCGATGGAAGTCACTGGGTATTCGACGACCAGACCCAGTCCGCAGACCCATATTTTCACCTCGTTCTTCTTCCAATTCTCTAACCAAATCTTCTTTATCGATCCTTCTCGGATCACGGGCGTTTATTTAAAATTCGCTTAAATTCAATCAAAAGTAATTTATTTAAATTTTATTCGCCCGCGAGTGAACGGAAAGCTGAAAGTTGTAACTTTTTTTTTTTTTTCATTTATGAAGGGAAGAACATCGAATTAAATCGATTGATTAATGAAATATCTACACCTCGCATTTTCATTGTCACAAATTAACGCGTGTAACGTATCTCGGCAATAAAACCAGCTTCGACAATGCTTGTGTGTCAAGCTCGCCTTGGGTTTTATTCATTACAGTATCGGGTCGATAAATTCGATCGTTTATGAGATTAATTGGTTTTCGTTGGGTCAATGGCTTATGCAAGCGTATCGACATGGACTGGAATACTCGATGACCCAGTTCATAGTCCGTTATTTCGATTAGATTTTTTACTATCGATACTGATACTAAAATCATGGTGCCGAGTGTAATATACTATTCTTGTAAAATATATATAAACTTTAAAAGTATGAAATGCACGATGTGTCTAATCAACTTTAAAATTACAATTATCGAATTTATATGCAAATATATAGGCATACATAATAAATATACATCCACCACCACCCACAATGAATAATATCAACATGCATACCACCATTCAATCGCTATCTGTTGAGAAGAGCGATTTGTACGACTGTCGTCAGGCTGTCGGCATTCATACATCGGTAATATAAATGCTAAACTGGTATTGTTTGTTGTGGTGTGTTTATTTTCAAAACGTAATAATCGCAGGGAAGATATTGATTGTATACAATTACAGCAAAGCAAAGTGTGCGCGTAGCCGAGAATCGTCTACAACGAAGAGAGAGCCAATTTCCTTTCCTAGTCTGGTCTGGAACCAGGGTGACTTAAGTCCGTCGATGATTACAGAACGACAAGGCTTTAATTTAATCCTCCGTAGTTTTTTAGGGTCGTAAACGAAACCGGTTGCATCCAACTGGAATATACATAGAGCTAGAACTGTACACGTTCGCATAAAGATGTTTCTTTCCGGCTGAGAAATACCTGAGGGATCTCGTCCAGTCCAGTTCGAGTGGAACCAGCGCTGTTCGAGAATTAAACGCTGACTCTTTTAAAGTAAAGTATTGTATCGATAACATTTTTTTCCTTTGACAATTTCATCGTCTAACTTTATGCAACGAAAAAATTTCCCTAATTTGTGGACAAATTAAGTTATTTTAAATTTTCCATGATGGATGAAGTAAAAATGTTTTGATAATAAATTGTTAAAATGATTGTAATTGCAATAGGGAAAAATATTCGATTCTTGATATCATCGTTGGATTTGACAAGGCATCGTAATCGATTTATGATGGATCGATCGTCGATCAAAGTAGTATGACAATAACATAATAATTAGTATCCATAAGACAATAGTTTCGTACATAATGCTTAGACGAAACCGGTTTTCAGGTAGATTATTCCTTATCGAAACGAAATGAGTAATTCTTTCTACGCAGAATTCTAGTTGATCATAGCCAATATACTTTTTTTGCCACTTGAAGAAAAGAAAAAAAAAAGTAAGATAAATGTTAACCTGAACGACCCAGTAAACCAGAATTCTAACTGTGTCAACAGGCAAGATTATGCACGCATACGCATCCGGCAATATAGTTTCTAATAACTCGTCACTTACGCCCTTCTTCGATACACGTATGCATAAGCGGAAAAGGGGACGTCGATCGATGATGATAACACGTAACATCGTGTTGATTAGATGGTATGTACAAGTATTGTAAAATGGAAAGTGACGTAATATCTCAAATATAAATCCGATATTCTCATATCCTTTGTTTGCAGAATTGAAGAATTGTGAGACAGGTGGATTAAATTATCTCAATTTTGGCCAATTTAATGCTTAATCCTTCTTTCAATTTAATTGTAACGAGTTTAAATGTAAGTATAAATGGATTATTTCACTTTTTGCAAGATCTTTTGTTTTCGATGTGAAAAGAGCAATCCAGTGATACGTTTTTATGCGGATTTAGGTTAAGTGATGAATGGAAGAAATGTTTTGATGAGGCATACTGGATTCAGGTTATGTTCGGTTAACTGTTAATCATGGCGATAACTTGGTTGATTCTGAAACTGATGCAAATATTCAAGATAAGTGAGGCTTGCTGGAAAGATGCTGAAATTGAGATTTAGAAATATAAACAGTGATTGAAAAAGTATCAATGAATCAAGTGCAATTGAATACATTTGTATTTGTGAAACTATTATGGATTACCAAAGAACAATACTTTTCTGTGTAAACTTGGTGAAGTGAAATATGGAAATAAAGAAAATTTATTTTCTTATTTTCTGCACTTTCTATTGTTTCCACATTAGCATGTGGATTCCACACTTCTTTAGTGACGCTTCAACGAATGATTGTTTATAGAGATCGATCATACAATGAAACCTAACCTGTAAATAAAAATTATATTTTTCATCAAAATAAGAATAGAATTATTTGCTGAAAATCGATATTTGGATGAAATAATCTACGTGTCTCGAAATTTTCACTTTTAATATCTCATTTTGAATTTATAAAAAGATAAATGATATAAATGATATCGTAAAATTAAATCGATAAATTCAATTCGATAAATTCAATGAAAAATTGATTTTTATCTTACGCATTATATTGACATGTAAAAAAAAAAAAAAAGATTACTCAAAACGGACACGCGATTCTACATTGATCCTGACCTTTCGTTCAGGATATATTATTTCCCCTCCGGGCTTATTCGTCACGACAAAACAGCATTGAAATCAAAATTCTTGGAATCATATCGCATTATCATGTATCATTTTTATCGAAATAAAGAAGAAGAAGAAAAACATACAATAATAATTGTCTGAAAAAAAAAAAAAAACATTTGACATTTTATCTATAAGAATTTTTATCGAAGAAGATGCAATCCTATTAATCCTAGATTAATAATTTCCCAAATATTTTCTAAGTTTATTCAGAGACAAAAATTTGCAATCTTTTTTTCGTAATTAATGTCGTTAAATTATTGATTATGATTCATATAATTTCTCAAAGTATAGTATATATTTTTTTAATAATACATTTGTAAAAAATCATTTATTTATACTACATATAATATTACTTTAAACTAGAAAATTCAAATCTTTATCGAATCTTTAAATTTGAAATTAGAAAAATTCGAACTTAAACGTTCAAAAATAAAGCAAGAAACGATGGATAGCTTTATCTTATCAAGTAAATCTGTTCGTATTTCGTTTTGAGAGAGGACATTCAGGGATTCGAAATTTTCGAACAACTGTGTTATTTTATAAAAATTTTGAAAAAATTTTAACGAGTTTCATCGAGACGAGTACAATTTATCACCAGATTCGTAAGATTCATAAGATTCACGCGTTATCGATCCTCGAATCGGACTCACTTCAACGATCTTCAAGAAAGAAGAGGATCTTCAAGGTTGAAGATCTCTGGGTACGATTACCTGTATGCGACGAGCAGATTAAAATCTGTACTTCATCAGTAGTCTGCAGTACTAGTCTTCACGACAAAAAGAAGAATCGCGAATTTTACTTTTACTTTTCATCTTATGATTGTTATCTCTGAAAGTTAGTAGACGATAAATTAATAATGCAAAATATCAAATTTACGATACGAAATTTAATGCAAAAATCAAAAATCCTTTTCCATTGTGCAAACATCGGCCTCCATCTTCGAAAAGAGAAGGAAATCCTCGCACAAAGAAGAATGGGAAGGCAAACGGTTGAATCACAAAGGCAAAAGTTTCTCTAGGGATGGCACGATACGAAAATTTAACGAGAAAAAAAAAAAAAAAAATCAACGTTTCTTCAATATTTCGCACGTCACGTATAAAACATAAATCTGTTCCTGTCGATCTCTAAAAAAAAAAAGGAAACGAAAATCCTTGGAAAAAGAAGGATGGAAAGGATGGAAACGAGTTGAATTAAAAAGCTCGAAAAAATACGAAAATTGAAGGTAAAGGAAGAAAAACATCAACATCGTTTTCGGTTGCACGTCAAAACAAAAAACCGTGTCTCCGTTTCTATCGTTGCACAAAGAAGGACGGAGAGGCGAGCGAGTGAAATACAAAGCCCTGTATTTCTATATGTAGCGGTGAATTTCTTAGAAAAGAGGAGGCTTGGACGGGCCCCGAATTGCCGAAAGTAAAGGAAGATTTGACTTTTTGCCTGGATATTAACGGAACGGCGTTAACCCCGAGGGGCCTGAACGTGGCAGAGAGCGAAGGGTAGAGGGGAACGCGGAATATAAAGGAGAGTGCCCCGTGCTACGGGGGCTTAGTACCGTTCAAAGATGCAGGCTGCCGAGATGATGCGCGATACCAGGGCCATCTGCTACGATCTTGTGTTACTGTTATCCCTCTCGATCAGTTATGTCCGTGAGTAGAAGGAATTTTTGAAATTCCCGCGTCGAACGAGAGTCGAAATCCGCAACGATGATTTGTCACATTGCTGCGTTGGGGACAAGTGTTGGAAAGTTGTTGTTTTGTGCGCCTCTCTGGTGATTATTTGTGGCCGGGTAGCTCGCAATGAAAATCGTCGATACGACGCGAGTGTATATTCTATGTCCTATACACGTGTGTCGAACATTCCTTTTAAAACATTAAATTATTAATTTTTCTCGTTTCGGTAATGGTGGATTAAAATTTATATTGTAATTTATCGGTTTATTATTTTATACACGTATTAAATGTATTTATAGAATGTCTCGTTAATGTTCAACGGTGGATCGATTTGCAATTATAGAAAATAAATTGTTCAACCGTGAATGTATTTCCTTTCGAGAAGACTATAGAGAAGACTAATGCAACGCTGTCGCCGCGTTACACGTGATAAATTATCATCCGTACAAATCTGTAATTTGCCTCGCGATAATTTCAATTTTATTATTGATTCGATACTAATTCATTTTAGATACGTTTCCGCTTCAAGTGTTGCCTGCCATCCAGGGATACATTCCGGTTTACATAAGGTATGGTAATCAACCACTCGAGGAGATAAATCCCAAGTTAGCCGAGGCGTTTCACGAAGGATCGAGTATACATTACGCTTACTCGCCGATGAATAATTTGAATAAGGTACGTGTTTATATGAGTTGCACGACAAATATATATCTAGGTACAAATATAATTTTAAAATCTGAATTTTCAACGATCATTGCAGAAACTTGATTTAGATCTTCCTAAAGATGAGAACGATGAGAAATTAATAGAGGAGGATTTGGAAAGGAAATCTGCCGCGAATGTGATCAGAGAGGTTCAAGAAACGTGGAAAGTATGATATTTATTCAAATCTTTTTTTCTATCTCTCTCTCTTATTGAAAAACAATGCTAATTAGTTTTCCAACTAGTTTTCGTTATCAAAGAATGAACGCTTGCTTCGCGTTGTTAGTAATGTGCTCGTCAATAGTGGATCATACAGTATGCAAAAAAAAATATTAACGTCAATTCAAATGCACGGTAGTTAATAAATTGCTTTTACGTCCTGTGTTTTCACCTGTCACCATGCATAAATAGAGACAATCTGAGGGAGAAATCAATGAGTCATTAAATTACCTGTTCCTTGTATCCACTTATCGTATCATGATATATAAATATTAATTAACCTCAATCGACAATCGTATAATTTGAGAAAAAAATTTATCACCTCGAATATTTTATTTTTAAGGTCGATCAATTAAACGAAGATGGGAAAAATGCAGAAGAGGAACGCAAAAGTGAGGTTAAAGGAGACGTGAAAAGTCCAAATAATGTGCACGATTCGAATTTCAATCTCGCCGAATCGTCTATGGATAAATTTCGTTACAAGAACGATCAAATTTTTACCTCAAATATGAACGTCGATCAAATGATCGCTCAAGAATCGATTCGATCCGATATTTACGAAGATGATCAACGTCGTGCCGAGGATAATGCTTCTGACTCTTGACCCTGAATGGATCCAACTATGGAGTTTGCTTGATGAAAAATATTTTTTTTCCATTCTCAAGTAGATCCTTCGCAGGAAACTTAAAACTGCCGCTAGAAAAGCAACGAAAAGAGGAAAATGAATATTCAGAAGAGAGATCAAAATTAAACGCCATTCATAGTGAGATTTATTTATAGCAAAACGATATATAGCGTAGAATTTTGTGATAAAATATTTCCAATGGATTAATTTAACGCTCGCAATTGTTTATTATAAAATGTTAACAAATTGAATTTATATGTATATTATTGTATATCTTTGATTAACGAGAATCATGTGATGCGTATCGTGCTCAAATAAATAAAATATTTCAAAGACAGGATACGAAAAATAAATGGTATTTGCGATATTCGAATTACATTTATAAAAAGTAGTTTATTTTTTTTGTTCCAATTATTAATCGTATTTATACATTATGTATTATTTAGTTACCAGAAGATAATTGAAAAATTACCACCGGGTATTTGAATATTTTTCCACACAGAACAACTTATACTCGTCCGATAATTTATCGTTATCGATTTCCCACTGTCTCGTTAACTTCCTCCTCGTCAGACGTAATTTTATGCGTTTCTATTCTGTAATTATTATTAGCCGTGTTCAAAACAAGCAACGCGGGTATCGTATTTGATTCATTGGCTCTGGACATTTTCGAAGTATATTTTATATTTTCAAATATATTCCCGTCGATTCTTATATCCAGATATAATCGTCGATCTTCGAGAAATCTTTCGCTTGATAAAATGAAAGTATTATTGCCAAATTTACACGCTACAGCTGGTAGATTCCGTTTCACTTCTGGTATGTAAACATCTCGAATTGCTCTGCAGTGAACGATCGATGATTTTCCCCGTTCCTCCGAAAAATTCTGTAAATCCTCTCTGTATCTCTCTTCATTCCCAAAATCGAATTCCTTTTGCCTCATTTCCTTGTTAATTTTTAAATTCCTCACGTCTTTCGGCACGGCGTCAAAATTATTCGATCTCGAGATGTGATGCGTCGAAGCTTTATTCGACGTAGCCACTTGAACTTTGGCGATCTTCGACAAAGAAAAAATTAGACATAACTCTTTGTCCTCGTAAGGGCATATTTGATTACTTTCACTTAAGGATTTGGAATCTTTTTCGTTACAATTTTCAACACAATTATTATGGGTTATTATTTTCCGATTTTTTACAATTTTAGGGTTAAAGTTTTCTATTAAAGGTTCGCCTCGAGTCTTCGAACCACTGTTCATAACATTCGATTGAAAATATTGATTTTCAATCGGCTTGCCTTCACCACGTAACGTAAAACTGAATAATAACACAATAAAGAACAATGATTTACGGGACATTTTAACGAGGACGAAGAACTTTCCACTTTTATTTTTCGTATCTTAAAGCGTCCAGTAACCTCGACAGGATAGATACTGACTGTGCCAGAAAAACAATGTGAACGCAAAAGCCAGCAAGGTGCATGGGGACTGAAGATTGGGCCGTTATGTCTACCGTGTTCATTTCGTGTGCGCTGACCTTATCTCCTGTTTGGACATTGTTCGAATACCACAAAATTTAGTTCTATCTCTTTCGAAGAATCTTAACGTCGACTTTGATCCTGCATTCCAAAGGATATGTCACTGTTCGCCTTCGATCCCTCTTACCAATACTCTTTGTTCCCAATGTAAAAATATCTTGTGCGATTACATTATTTACACAATTTTTGTTTATCTACGCGAAGAACAAGTATATTATAAACACGAACGAAATGTAAAAAAGTATTATTATCATTATTATTATTATTATTATTATTTTTAATAAATTTAAAATTGAATTTATTTCTACGTATTTTAATATATATGTTTAACTGTTTTGTACAAATAATTTCATATTAACAATATTTTAAAGGATAATATATATGATTTTTAAAATAAAGAAAAATTTATTTATACATTATATATTTTATATTTATAGTGAAGTGAAATTAAAATTTGTATCGTTTTAATATTATACATTTATACGTCGAAAAAAAAATAAAAATTTAGAGATAATAATTTTTTAAAAGTATAATAAAAATAGAACACGTTATGATCATTGACATTATATGCACAATTGCCACGGATGAGTGCGCTACTCCCTCTATCACTAAAAGTAGCTCAATTCTTCTCGATTTCCGCAGGAGGAGAATACGTGACGTCACGTTATCCCCACTGCTATTGCTACATTAGGCAGAGGCACGCCATGTGACATGATGGGACGCTTGGCTTTGGTGGATGCCTGGTGACGTCACGTATTCTCCTACCGCAAAAATTCGCCATGGGGGAATTGAGCCATTTTCCAATGGTAGAGGGGATAACTTACCACGCTCCGGCAACTATGTGCGCAGTAGAAGTGCGCAATGTGATGTCAACAACGCGTGTGTATAATGTAAATCGTGCCTTTTGTGTTGCACATATTAGAAGAAATGTGCATATTTTATTATTATTATATAGTATTGATGGCGTGATTTTTTAATATTTCATTCCTTATTAAGTAAGGAACGTAATTGTATTTTAATAGAAATTAGCAATTTCGAAAATTAATATTACTTGTAACATTTATTGTTATTGTTAGTATTTCTTTATTTAAGAAGAAAAAACTGAAATAAAAATTAAATTTTTTAATAAAGTTATATAATTTAAGTCTGTAAAAAACCTGCACAATCAAAATATTATACTAAAAGAGCACCTAACCTAAAAATTTTCTAACTATTAATTTTTTTCTATTTTGCATATTCAAAAATATAAAGTTGTGACAAAATTGAAATACAATGGCTGGTCAACAACATCCATTTCCATCTGGATTTCCTAACGTACAACAATCTGCAATGAGAACACAATTTGGTGGAGGTCAAATGGTATCTGGATTAATGGGGCCTCAACAAGGTGGTAAGTACAAATTGATTAGGAGAAGATATTAAAGAGATAAATTTTAAAAGAATATAGTATAATATTCAAAAAATTCTTTGATGTAGGTATGGTAAATCCGCAGCAATTTGGAGTTGGTGTAGGAGTAGGAGTAGGTGTAGGTGGAGTTGGATCCAATGCTATGGGTATACCTAGTGCTCAACAAGTATTAGCACAGCAACAACAACAACAACAATCTGTTGCAATGCAACAACAAGTACAGCAGATGCAACAACAACAATTACAATTACAACAACAACAACAAGCTGCAATGGTACAACAAAGTAATCCAACAGGCAACCAAGCTACGACACCTCAAACTCCCGTACCACCTACTCAACCACCACCTCAGCAACAACAACAAAATAAGGAATTTAACACTGCCAGTTTATGCAGATTTGGTCAAGAAACTGTACAAGATATTGTCAGCCGCACTCTGGAAGTTTTTCAAACGTTAAGACTTCTTCAACCCCCAACTGGTATTTTAAAGTTATTAAATTTTAATTATTTGTAACGCATATTCAATTGTATTCTATATATATATATATATATATATATATATATATATATATTATAATTTCAGGCACAGCACAAGGAGCAAATTTAGCTAATGAAAGGAAGAATAAAGTACAGGAACAATTAAGAACTCTTAAATTATTATTTAAACGTTTAAGATTGATTTATGAAAAATGTAATGAAAACTGCCAACTTCAAGGTATGGAATATACACATATAGAAAGTTTAATTCCTTTAAAGGAAGAATGGGATATGAAATCCGATGAGAAAAAAACATCTGAAGCTTATAGATTAGCATGTGAAGAAAGTAAAGAAATTATGGAAGTAAGTTTAGGCTTTAATATAAATAATAAAAAGCGAACATTTTTTTCATAAACTAATAATATTATATTTAATTTTTTCAGCAAGTGGTGTTAAAAAATAGGCACCTTAAAGAAATTATTGATCATTTAAGACGCATTATTTCAGAAATAAACACTATGTTAAATATGCGTCGATCTTAAACTATAAAATGTAAATAATATTTATATAAGTTATTAAAAAAACTGTGTTGAAAAATAAAAATATTCTTTGCTATGTAAGAATGTTAATATTATTTACATACCTGTATTTTGAAAATTTATTGTACTACATTAATGTCATTCATATCCATATAAATAATGTCACTTGTTCTTAGAACAGCTTCTGGAATCTTGCCCAATGGTGTTTCCAAATTCCGTGTATATACTTCCAAACATTCTACATCACAACCTCTAAACTCGGCAGAAACCCGCGTATTTTCGTATAAGTAAAAATCTGCTTGTTTACCTGTAACAAATAATTTTTTTCGATTTCATATTTCTAAGTTATTTTATTCATAATATTGATGATACTACCATATTTAATGATAATTTATGATATACTATACTTCCGTATAGGTTAAGTGTTTCTGATATTGGCGCCACGTTTGAATAATTTCATATTACTCTAATTTCCTGTATAAATTATTATGATAAAAATTTATACAGAATTACACATTTGTAAAAATATTACATAAATATTTTAATATTTTTATTTTGAGATAGAAGAAATAGGTTTGAAAACATAAAATATTTCATACCAACAATTCCAGTAATTACACGGAGAAATCGTTCACGTAAAAATGCACGTGCTTCTTGTTTCTCAGAAGTTGCAAAATCCATGTTAGTTTCATTTTCGTTCAACTGTGAATTATCTTCAATTACTTCAACTGAACTAGTCATTTTGTCGAAAAATTTGCTGACTCGTAAAGAACTTCCATGGCGGAACTAAAACAACACAAGTGAAGTGAAGTGTCGCTGTAATGCCCGCCAAATTTAAAAATTAAAATATTATTATATATATTACTTGTAATATAATATTATAATATTAACGTTAAAATATCGCATAATATTAATATAGATCGCATAACAGAAACCCACATATTTTAACGAGGAAGTTTAGATTAACGCAATTAACATATTTTCGAATATATCTAAATGGTATACTTTCACAAGATAAAAGATGAGGGTAACCCACAGGTTTCGAATTTTGTCAAATAGCCTTCGTCAATTTTTTTTTTCATTCTTGTTCGAAACATCGTACAGTAACAATGAATTTCTCGATCCTCGTGCTTTTAACTATCGGTATTAATTATACCAGTAAGTAATATTATAAAAGTATTATAATAAAAAAAATAAGCTCTCTCTTTCGATCACGTTAATTATTATTGTCTATCTAGGAGCATATCATAAAATTAGTGCGACGACGGAACATTCAAAAATAATTCATAGATCGTTACGAGAAACTACTACGAACAGTGGCAATGTACAAATACCCGAGAAAAAAATCTCTTTGACGGATATTCTGTACTCGAAACAGAATTTGACTAGATTAGAAGAATTGGAAAGAAATATGAAGAAAGAAGTTGACTCTTCGAATAGAAAATCGAAAATTTTAAGAAGTTTGGCTTTCCTAGCCGGTTTAAGTGTCGGTAATTTGACAAATGCAGCGTCGACCGACGTAAAAACTTATACTAAACTTCCATCGTTGAACGTCGATGGAACATCTCGAATTTCATCTCCCGTTGCCGCGATCTATAATCCTTATCCTTACGTCTCGTATCCTTATATATTTGCCACTCCTGTAGGATTTTATCCCCCTTTGTTGGATTTATTAAGATTACAATCAATTAATGGATTACAAAACGTCCAACCGAGTTCGTTAAATCTATTGGGCAACAAAATCATTGATCAGTTGAAGGACGAGTATGTAGAGGAGGCTCAAAAAATCGAAAGTATCAAAACGCCAAACATCGACAAAAATACAGAGGAGGAGGAGGACCAGAACGAAGAAGGCAAGGTAAGAATTTGAAAAACGTGATGAACATATAAATAAAATTTTACGTGGTAAAAAGAATTAAATATTTTATGAATTTAGCATTACGCATTAATATAATAAAAATTAAAAATCCGTTTCTTCTATTAACAGTTTCCATCTTCTAATTTATTATGTAATACGCAGAAAGAAGTTAACGCGAAGCAGAGTAACACGTTGAAAAATATCGTCAAAGATAATTCTTTTACGATAGGATTACGAGCCGCGAACACAACAACAAGTAACACAACGTCTGGAAATATGACCCAAACTGACAATTCGACTCAAACAAGTCCACATTTTTACTACGGCGGATATCCACAAAATATACACCATATCGATTTCACTACGAAATCGTACGACCCTTATTATCACAGTTACGAGCACATCAATTATGATTTACCCTCGTACAACAAACCCGTAAATTTTTACCCGGATGAAACGTATAATAATTATTATCCCGTTGCACATGTTCATGATCATCATTATCCAGGTCAATTTCATCAACAAATGCCCGAATATCATTCTAACGATTTCAAAAGATTTTTGTATACACCTGACGATATACCATCATTCGCCAACAATGATTTCAAACCTATAATATAGAATCAAACCTATAACGTGTAATTGTAACGTGCAATGTAATGTATCAATATGTATTAACGTGTGTATAATCATGATAAAAAATTTAATAAATTAAATTTTTTTTTTTACTGACAAATTAATTTTAGTGAAATGCTTTTAAAATATATATATATATATATATATATATATATATATATATATATATTAAGTTAAGAATAATAATAATATCACATTACCTTATAGATTTATTACGTTCGTAATGTTATATACTTTGATATAAGTCGAATGTAAATAATTGTGTTTCTTCTGGCAACAAGTTGTTTATACTAGGATAGGACGATATAATAATTACGAATCGGTTCATCAGAACGTTGCCGGAATTTTATTGACGAGCACGCTTTCGCGTTTTCGTTATTTCAGAGAACAGTTTATAAAACAATATGTGTTGGAAAGTAATTGTGTTATTTTTCGTATTACTTTGTATAATCGTATATAATTATCATAATTTGACAAGTAAGTGGATTTTCAATGGAATCGTATAGTTACAAATATTATAATATGATAATTGATTTTTCTATTATAAAATTTATTTAATTATATATATATATATATACTATGGAAATTTTCGTATTAATAATATTTATCTTTCTAGAAGTATATCTATCGATAAATAATTATATCTCCAACGAGTTGCCGGAATTAACGACACTTTCTCCCGTGTTGAAAAAGTCTAACGACAATTTTATGACGTCGGATGGCGAAGGAAGTGGGAATAAGAAAGAGAAAGATAAACGATATAAAAATAAAAACGCGATTCTACACGGGGACGATTTGGATTCACGATTATGCCGCCGAGATATTTCCACGTCTTTCGTCAACGTGCCGTTCGATTCCACGAAAGTGGGAAAAATATTGTCCCGCTTGGTTAAAAAGGAAACGCACGACAATTATTATAAGGTGAAGAGGAGCGTAGCAACGAAACTGCGGAAAAAGGCGGACGTTTTAGGACGTCTCTTGATGAACAGTGCATCGAATAAAAGTAACGAATACGATTACAATGATCCAGACGATAATTTAAGAGGCGGGGATAATGATAAAATTAATTGGGATGCATTTTTAAACGAGGACGGGCCAAGTATCATGGAGTTAATGGTTTTGAACGAAAAGCAGAGGAAAAAGTTGTATCCCAATTTGTATCTCCATGATGACGAAAATAATTACTAATAATCACACGATATATTTTACAATATTATCTCAACTTTATTATTTTTCACAATGACTGGTAAATTTAGATTATTGTTTTTATTGTAAAATTATAATTTTTAAAGCTTTTATGTTAACTATACTTTTCATTTTGATAAACTTTTGAAAAGTGTACATTGTAAAGGTTGGAGTTGTTTTTTCCATCAACATAAATAAGGAAAAGATAAATTAATTGTAATATAATTTTAGTATAAGGTAAATTTTATTTCATAAAGTATTTCACAAAATCTACTTTTTTTCGAATTTTGTATAGATTTTAACTTCAACCATAAATATTGATAATTTTATAAAGTAACCTTTTTTTCTTAATATTCAATTATAGATAAGACTGTTTACAATCGTCAAAATTATTTCTACTCTTCCCTCTTAAATAATATATTATACAATGTAAATACTACAACGAATATAAATATTAACTCTGAAGCGATAAAATTCAAAATAATTGGCTCATGTTATAAGATAAAATCTCATAATACATATCTTTGTTATTGCAAAAGCTATAAATAAAAACAATGTATCTCTCGATGAGTTTTACAAACCACCAGATTGTTTGAACAATTGTTCACATGATTGTACAATTGTTTCAACATTTTCCACTATTATTGTCTATTTCAAGTATATAAAAAAAAAAGAACAGAGCTTTGCAAATTACCTTTTGATAAAAAAAAAAAGAAAAAAAATCTGAATAACAACAATCTGATAAATCATAATATTTCTTTTCTTTTCTTTTTTTTTTTTTTTTTTTTTTAAATTGTCGATTAATCAGCGAACTCTTCCATCAGAGTCTACCAATCGGACAACGTGGTTCGCAGGGAAGAAACCTGTTTTATTTTCGGACGAGTTTGGAGGGCTGGGCTTCTCGTCTATTTCGAGAAGGCCGTCACTGCTGGTATTGTGTTTCTAAAGACGCGAATACTTTGCAGCTTTAACGAATGGTTTTTCACAGAAAGAAAATTTGTCCATCCTTTTGATCTTTCCTCCTCTTCTTCAATTCAATCAAACTCGATCAGGGAAGCGCGATTCATTTATTTTTCAATGTTTGTTTCGTAAACTATTTTACTCTACTACAAACTATAATAAATTTTAATTCAACTTTTCATCCATTTTAAATTATCCAAATTTTAAATATATATATTTTTATATCACGCGAAAAAGCCAGAATAATTTTTAACAATATCGTATTTGTATTTATATCATTAAAATATTATAAAATCCGCAACAAACGTTTTAAAACGTGTAAAAATTATAGGTTATTAAATTATTTGCTTGTATATCACGCGAAGAAGCGAGAAGAATTTTTAACAATATCGTATTTGTATCGTCATTTATATCATTAAAATATTATACTATTATAAAATCCGCAACAAACGTTTTAAAACGCGTAAAAATTATGGGTTACTTGGTTATTTTGAAACGTGACGTGTAAGGGGGGGGGTGGTGCTCGATATACTGGTACAACATTGCGTGCGCGATTATGCAATAAGCAAATAGGAAACGATCAACTTCCTTCACGGAAGCGTTAACTCTTTTTCGAGGAGGGGTAAGAGAGTTGTCGATATTATCACGACAACGTGCTAATGGGCGCAGTTCTTCAGAGACTACGTAGAATACATTATTTATTGTATCAATAATGGCAAGTTTTTTTCGAAATATTCAAATTTAACACGAGTGCGCAAATGATTGATTCAGGAAAATATGAAGTTTTTTTAAGCTTTCGTAAAAGTGTACCAGCATCCGATAGAAATGTCGCGAAGGTATCTATACGATCAGATATAGAGTGTGTCTCTTTAAGTCTAAATATATACCGGGTGTCAGGGTTGAACGCCCTGGGATTTCCGGTCCCCAACGTGCGTACTTTGATTTTCCCTTTTTTTTTTTTTTTTTTTTTGTTTTGTTTTTGCTTTTTCTTTCTTTCTTTTCTCCACTTTCACGGTACAAACACTTACGCCCTCTCCATCTTCCCACCTTTCCTTTTTTTCCACGTCGCTTTTTTCCACGCGAAACCTAATAGCCTTGCATCCTCTAGGACACTTCAGGACTATTTCCTGCGTGTCGGGCGAACCGGATGGGAAACCGCAAATGCAAAACCCTATAGAATGTTTTAACGATAAGCATAAATATCGCTAGCGAAAATAGATAAAGAAAGAACGAACGATTAATTTCATAAAATTTTCAACTGCTATTTTCGAGGATGGCAAAATTAAAAAAAAGAAAAGGAACAAACTTCTTTCTCCCAGAGATTCCCACAAGAGGAGGATGAGGAAGACGAGACTAGGTTAAGACGAAAGTTCAAAGGTGTTGGCCCATTGAGAGGTGAAATATTAGAAGACATTTTGAAAATTTGTCAAAGGGAGGAGATGTATCCTCCTCATTCAGGAGTACAATAAAAGTGTCTGTTCATTTTTTCGAGCCTCGACGTTCCTTAAGGGTGCACCAACCTCATCGAGTATGCAACTACGTGACAACGTACGTAGGTACGCAGCCACGAAAATACACGCGTTTTGAATTCGGTGCGCATGCATGTACAGAGGCGAAAAGGCCCCGTTCTGTGTGGTAAATGCACTACGCTCGGGTAAGAACCCCGGCCTCGTGTATGGGGGACGACAGGAGAAGAGAGACAGCTGTGGGGCAGCTGGCAGCGCGTGCCACGAACCTATGGGGTCTCCTTCAAACGCAGACGACGATGATATCCTATACTTCGTGACACGTAACTTACGGCAGGTTTCGAACAATGCTGCGAAACGGAGGTTGTACCGATTGTCAGGGAAATCCAAGAGGAGATTGGTCCGAGTTATCTTCCACCACGATTGTCAGCGAGATCGTTAAAAAAGTATCTATGCTCGTCTTCTATGCGAATATCTTACGTACGTTCGAAGTGATAATCGATTTACTTCGATGCAACGAAAACGAAAATAAACCTGTGAAAATTAGGTTAAAAAGTTAGGTTATAATCCAAATAATTGAAAATATCTGACGATTTGTATCGTAAAATATTTGTAAAAGATGTAGATTTTTTTAATTCCTTATCGTTACCGTTCTCATTGTTTTCCAGTTTTTAGGTTAGTTTCCTACTCGCTTGTGGAAACGAGGCATTGTGCGAGATTGGACGAGACGTTGGGCTTCCTTGAAAGTTTTTCACTCGCTCTAAAGAAAAGAGATCAGCGGGTTCAAAGCCTTCGGGGGAGCGTTTTAGCCTAGTGAACATCTGCCGTCGCCTGCAACGATAATAATTCGAACAGCTGATACTCCTCGACGGACCACCGCCTTGCCTCGTGGATCCTGCAGGATCGAACGCTTCCAAACGTCTGTCGAAAATGTGACATTATCATTTCTTCGAATTCTGTTACATCTTGAACCTCGAAATTATTAGAAATAAATCAGATGTGAAAAAGAAATGTATAATGAGAAACAGTATGGTGGTAGGTATAAAAGTTAATAGACATTGTCTTTTGTTTGCTTTTCTACCTATTATAACGGAATGAATGATGGTGTCATAAATTTCGAAGAGGGAATAAACAAATGTCGCTTTATTAACGTTACATCTTATGATAATTACTAATAATGAAAATGAATATTACCTTACTTTATTCCCTTTCTTTTATAGAAACAAAAATATTGGAAAGAATATAAATACGTATATATATATATATATATATATATATATGATCATTCAAAGGTAAATAAATACGATCGTATTTGGAGATAATCTAAAAAAAATAAACGTGTAATCAATATTTAAAATCCGCGAGGTAAAATGACGAAAGATTTGTCAACACGTCGTCACTAGTCGATCCTACTTTTTGTATCTCATCCGTGTCTCGTTCGGTCGTCGTTACGCTACGCTACTGGTACAATGGAATAGTGGGGAGTCGAGTAGACCAATGAAAAGAGAAATCGTCGAAGAACCCGGCGAACTGGCGCGCAGCACGGTAACCGCAAACTTAAAGGCAGTTCGGTACTCGCACGTGGGCCTTCGTTCGTGTCGGATGTGTGCGCGTATGAAAATATCGTCAATTGTAAAGGACACCGTCCGTTACCACGTACGTGTCATCAACAGTGTTCGCGTTAATAATTATCGTTCGTAAATCGTATCAGATCTCAGGGAATACCTACTTCAATCTAGTATTAATGAATAAAATTTCTTCGTAACGCGAACGACTGTTGAACGTGTGCAACCGTTAAATTTTGTAATTTCGGTTTCATCGTCGTTAAATTATTTTTACTGTTAGAAGGATATCCGTATTGTTGGTGTGAATCTCTTCTTATTGGTGTGTTTGGGATTAAAAAAACAAGTTGAGTGCATCGGAAGAAGATAGTGCTTCGAAAAATTATAGAGGTGCGTATTAGAAATTCCATTTTCGTTTCGTATATTACGAACTATTTTACGAATATTTTGTTTTATTACCTAATCGTTCGTTTTAATATATTCGATATTCTAGCGCTTCGACGAGATATAATTAGGTAGTCGCTAAGTTCGCATTACATTGCACAATTACGATTCAATGCCTTTTTGCAAATATTATGACGCAATTGTTTATTCGTTATTGTTTGCTTATTTTTTTCTAACAATTGTTGCATATAAAAGATTATCTTATATATATATATATATATATATTAGTGTTTTAAGGAATATAGATCGATCTTTGCAATATATATGTTAGATATTTTCTTATTATAATGTCATTTTAACGAAGTATACAAAATGTGCCAAGGGATTATAAAATATGTTCAAAAAATATTGTTTATTCGATGGCCAAATATTTCGACGAGGCCATCTTGCGTGTTCGTAAAACGATCTGCTTATTCTCCTCCTGTCGCTCCTCTTTCACCCCCGTTGCAGCGGTCTCGTCGCGACAAAGGGGGTACACGACGACGGGCACGTGTACCACAACGTTTATTAATAAACCTCGACGTCGGCTCCGACGATTTCTCTTTAACAGAAGGCCTGGAAACTTATGCAGGTGATTACAGTCATCTAGCGTAAACGAGCAAGGAATTATGTACAATTCTTTTTTTTTCATTTTTTTTTTTTTTTCGTTTCTTTCTCGATGAACATATTATTTCAAGAATAGTAGCAATTAAATTTGCATGGCTCCGAGTATTAAAAGCTTATACATTTTTCAAGAGCGTACGATCATTGTCAATTATGTTTCAACAAGTGCTCTGTTACGAGATGTAAATAATTCAACGCTATTTCTAATTTTGCGCATTGCTGAGATTTCGTTCGGTAATTTCGCGTTGCAAGAGAAATTTGATCAATTGATAAACGATGATATTGTTTGATGCGTGTTTAAAAAAGTTTCTTTTTTTAAAAAATCATTTTTCACGGTCTATGAGCAAAACCAGGGATCGTCTCGTGTTTTCTAAATCTCTGGCCTTTGCGACTTTGGCCGAGAAGATATTTTAGTGTGTTTCGTCGAGCGCGTGGCAAACGGCCAGTGTCGAATACGCAAGTGTTTGCGCCATGATCGAAACACGATTCTATAGCGAAAATTTTTCTTCATCTTATTAAATTTCTATAATTTATCTACGAAATTTTCTCGATATTTGCAATTCAAACATTTTGCATATAATTTTAAATAATGGAATTTATTTCTTTTCAATTTTCATTTATATGTTATTTTAATGTATTTTGTTTTAATTAAAAGTTTTTTTTTTTCGTTTTTAATTTATACTATATCATTAAGTTGAAATCTGATATACTTCCTTTACAAAAAGAATAATAATTATTAATTAAAAGTATAGCTTAAACTATCTATAGCTTAACTAATTAAAAGTATAGTTATAAAAATTGAATTTATTTACGCGTGACACGATTTTCAGTTGATTTATGAGACATACTGCATAATTGTCATTCTGTTCGTGATGATATTACTCGAAAGGTTACAACTATTTTTTTTTTTCGATGCGCAGTAAAATGCCATCATGATTTCTATTAAAAGGAAAGTTTGCAAAAAATATATTTATAATGTTGTCTGCAGCTTTCAAATATATCCAGTAAACGCATTCTCTTTTTTATTTGATACATATCAAGCGATTCATATAGAAATCACGAATTGCAAATTTAACTTTTAAGAATCGTTCTATTCGAGTCTGTGTGAAGATTCTTGTGCACTGAACCAAATGCACAAACGTTCCCGTTTTAAATAACTTTCTAATTTTGAATGCAGCTCGGATATTCCATATCCAGTATATCTTCTCTTCAAACGAGATCATTTCACGAGCATTCGTTATTTTTTTTTTTTTTTTTTTTTTTATAAAAATAGTGCAAAAAACTTAGTAATTACATCATAACGTAAAAAAAAAAAAAAAAAAAAGAAGGAAAACGAAAGACACACGAATTATTTATTCGGTTGCAAAAGAATATTTGTGCTCTATTTACAAGTTAATTAATTTCGGCTGATAACAAAAAAATAAATTATCTTTATCCGTAACAATGCAAAAAAGATTCTCACAACTAGTCTCGAGACGTACACTACGTATTCGACGTTCGACACACGTTCGACTTTAGGAAAAAAAAAAATAAAAAAAGAAAAAACGTGGTAATCGCAGAAAGCATAGTATTTATCAACTATATACGTAACACGGTCGTTGCTTCCACGGTAGCTGAATTCAGAAAAGCGGCCTTTTATGCTCGACCGAACGTCCCGAGTGTAGTAGTTGCGTTTGGTTCTCTAGGATGAGGGAATTAGGGGGAGAAAGAGAGAGAGAGAGAGAGAGGAACGATGGTGGTGGAGGAGGAGCCCGATGGCAATACAACAATATGATTATACGGCGTGCTGCACCGGTTTTCTGCAGCAGCTGCCGTCGTTTTGGGGGATCGGACAGAAACAGTATGTGTGTGTGTATGTGTGTGAGAAAGAAAGAGAGAGAAAGAGAGAGAGAAAGAAGGAGGAAGGGAGACAAGGAAAGGGCCCCGTTCGGGCGAAGCGGTGCACTGTACGGTAGTGCGGTGCTTGGTAGTGGTAGTGGCAGGTGGGGTGGGGGGGTTCCGGAGCGGGGAGGAGGAATAGGAAAAGAACGTAGGGCCATTTTGCAGGGCCTGTGCACAATATGAGTGTGAGAAAGATGGAGTGAAAGAGCGTGGAAAGGAGGAAAGAGGGAAAAAAACGGGAGGACCCCTTCTGTACACCTCTCTCTCTCCCTTTCTCTTTCTCTCTCTTTACCTGCAGCATTGCAGAAACACGAAAGCAGAGGCCCACGAGAAAATACTACCCTACTATACCTAGGTTCTGGCAGGCAGTTTCGATCCTCGCAAGAAGTAAAACTGGCTCCCTTTTCAGTCCGTTACCGAGACTTGAATGGAGGTCAGGGTCCCTTCTCTTCTTGCCCTTTTCTTCTTCTTCTACTTCTTCTTCTTCTTCTTCCTTCCCGTGGTACTTTTCCCTCTTCTTTCGGCACAGTGTATTCGCACCAGCGGTTGGTTGCCTGTTTCTGTTCTCGTTCCCCGGCTTGGGGCTTGCCGGTTTTCCCCGGTTTGCACAGGGGTCCGGGCAGAAAGGGAATTTTTATCTGTTCCCTTTATATATATATGTATATACGTATGCACGAAGGAGTCATCGATTCAAGGGAATCGAGGGGTACGGAACAGTACTTGGAGTAACGGGTCCGGGAGAGGGAGAAACGGTTTATTTTTGTCCTTCTTTCTTACCGTCGCGCCTAGTAGGATACCTACGAGCGAAATCTTTTTTTCGTGGACGCGGATCTGCACGTGGCCGTGCGCGTACGTTGTTGCGCATTTTACGAGGACCGTGCGAAGCGATGCGATTCGTCGGTGGGTCGTACAATGAGGTATTAAATTCTAAACGCTCTACCTTTCCCTCTTCCCTCGCTCCTATCGTACCGAGGAATATTTCATCTTTTCCTACGATTTTACACGTCCTGTTACACTTTACGCAAATTAATCCAATCACGATACCATTGAAAACACGAGCGAAATTATCGATTGCAGATAACCCGAATCGAGAATCATCATTTTTGTCTAAATGGTGGTAAGCCTGTGACGTGATTAACTGTTGACCAAAGTACCAGAGAAAGGTATCAAAATTGAGCAGGTCGTCCTCCCGTCCGGCGGTGATCTCGCCAAAATTTGGAGGATGTTGATGCCCGGTGCTGCTGGTCTCAGTGCCGTAGGCGCGGTGGGCGCCGTTGGGGCGCCAGGGCCGGACGAGTTGGTTTCGGGCCTTGGCGCTTTGGCAGGCACTACGCCTCAACAGAAAGATACCACTTGGACGAAACTTTTTGTTGGCGGTTTACCGTATCACACCACCGACAAGAGTCTCAGGGAACATTTCAACGTGTATGGAGACATCGAGGAGGCAGTGGTTATTACCGACAGGCAGACCGGCAAAAGTAGAGGTTACGGTTTCGTAAGTATCGTGATTATTAATTTTTTATTTATTTATTTATTTTTTTGCTGATTAGTTTTTTTTTTTTCGTTGATTGATAGTCGTGTTGCTGTGAGAGCTCGCTTTGTTTGAGAGATAGCTTCGAATGAGTAGTTTATTTATTTGTATTTGTTGTTGTACACGTGTAATTTTTAACGGCACAAAGTTTGTCGTAACAGAAGGGAATAAGGGATGATAAAAATTTTGTCAGAAATTTTGCTATTGATAACTGGTTTTCTCAACCGT